ATTCCCCAACGAACTTGTATATAATTTTAAACTTGCCTCATTATTATATGATAAATAAGAATTATTAAAGTAGTGTAATTGGTATCCCTTATTTACTGTAAATTCTTTAGCATCACACATCATTGAAATCTTATATAATAAAATTATGATGAAATTATCGAGAAACACGTTTTCCTAGAAAACTTCATTATTCTTCATGCTGTATCCAATTTTGCGTTTTCTAAGGCATTTGATCAACATGTTCAGCGAGAAATCGCGTGCTCATTCAAAGTTTTAAAATATCTCGAAATGTTAATGCATTATTACTATTCTTCTCTGATTTGAGGGAAAAAATGCAAAAGCGAACAAGCTCAGGATTATTCTTCATATTTAATTGGAATTGAAAACTATCTATCGATTCATGACATGAACATCATTTGGAAGTATGCTAACGCTAAGCAGAAAAATATCTGCGGCCTTACCCTCATATCGTTTTTTCGGAATGAAACAGCTGGATTCACCTCAACAACATGGTTAGATGTATTTTCGCCAAAACTTTTGAAAAACTTGCTATGCTATAAAAAATTGCACGATATTCCAACTATTAGAAATTCAAATCAAGAAGATAAACTGGTGATATTAGCTTTATTGATTATTTAACTCAACGTGATGTTTTAATGCTATGAATAAATTGAAAACCTACACTTTCTCCTGGCGTGATGCGTATATCATCATTATTATTGAAAAATTGTAATGTGAATCTTGATACCAATTCCTACACTTTTTATTTTATTAAATCTCTGCAGAAGGAAACCCTCCAAAGATGCTGGAAAAACAGTATATAACTCTGATTCACAAAAAAGATAAACGTTCTAATGTTAGCAGAGTTATAGACCAATCTCTAAACTTGTGAATAAATGCCGAAAATGGATGGAATCCATCTTAACAAATAAATTACGGCAATTTCTAAATCCAATTTTGATCCCGAAGAACAACCATAGTGTTTTCGCTTAACACGGCGCAGTCACATTCCCTGTCTGCACTTCACTTCTTTTCACGAATGACTACACATGCACCCTATACTGGAAAACTCTTAGGACTATACCAAAAACCATAGTAATGTATCTCATAATACGTATACAAGACTTTGCCCAAGCCCTTCGATACCTGTAAACCATGTTCTTTACTTCAGGTGTGGAAGAAATTGCCGTATCCATTGTACAATCTTGAATTGGTTCTATAGTCTACTTAACTGCGTGAGAATGTCAAAATGGAAAATATAAATCCTCGTGTTCTAGAAATATAATCGTCACATGTGGGGGTCGCGAGCGAGAGTTACCCACCTAGGACCACTATTATTCATTCTATTTGTCACAATGATCTTAAAAAACCACTTACCATATATCAAAATTCCTACTTTTGCCTGATGACTTGAAAATTTATAAAAACTATAAATTCATTCACGACCTTGTTATACATTTAAAATGTGACTTAAAAACACATTGTCTAGCATTGTGTTCCCATTGTAGTTCAGTTATTGAACTAGGAGATGCAAAAGTTGTAGGAATCAGTCTCATACTTTATGCCGTGGTTATTTTGATCATACAAATGGAGTCATCTAATCTTCTCACAACATCACTTTATTATCATAACAACTCCACAATCAGATGTTAGGATTTGTGAGACGTATTGCATCTGAATTTACTAATGTGCAAACCATCAAAACTTTACATTTAACTCTAGTAAGACCGATATTATTACATGGCTCACAAATATGTTCTCCCTTTTACCAGAACCATATCTCTAGACTTGAAACTGTTCAGCACATTTTTTTTTTTTTAGTTTTGCTGCCTTCAAGCTTGATATTCCATCTTCTAGATTTAGTCACAATTATTTCCAAGTCGCAACTAGATTAAATATTAGCTCATTACGCTCCCATAGGGATTATTTTGATGTACTTTTTCTGTATAATTTGATAAATCATGATATAGACTCTTCAGAATTAAATTGTAAAATTCCTTGGGCTAATCCAGTGTGTGATCTGCGTTCTACAAACAGCATGTTATTTAATATTCCTTTTGTGTAATCAACCTTGTACTATTATGCGCCATTATGGAAAATGTGTAGAAGTGCCGACTGTAACCGCATTAACTTATTTTGTTCACCTTACCAATTTAAAAAAACTTATACAAAACCTTTTACTAAATGATTTTCAATAATACTGTAATGTAAATGATATTTAATAATTGGGCGATTGCCTGTAATTATATGTATATAAATAAATAAAAATAAATAAATAAATAAATAAATAAATAAATAAACAACAATTCTTTTTACTGTGTATGTTACTTAAATATTACTTAATGTTAAATTGTTTACATTAAGAGAGGAACTTGATTGTGTAAAGAGATAGGGCTTGATGAAGTTTGAAGATTAGATCTAATGATGGAAATTTGCATTGCGAGTTCCAACCCTAGATTCAGAGTGGTAAAAATAAAAATTGTGTATTGTATTCTTTTGTTCTATTTATTAATATATATGATTGCAGACCTAATAGAATTAGAATTAAACATTATTAGCGTACAGTAACTTCAACAATGCAAATCAGCAACAAACAATAATCAAAATTTCAATAAGAGGGATGTACGTGATGAATTGACTGCAAATTATCAATATTTGGCTTCAGTTTTGTAAGGAATGACAGCTAATCTCGCCTTACAGTGATGTTCAATCTGCTCCTTTTTTTGTTAATAGGTTTGTAACGACACATTTCACTCAAACGTTTTCTTGCAATTTCCTACAGTCCAGGATATTTTTAGAGTATTTCTGCCTGCAGCCAAACTGGCACACACTGACATTGATTCACTCAAATTTTTCTTTTAAAAATTCCGGAAACAAATGACTAACATTTGCCCTTGGCATTTGTATATTTTTATTGGTGAAGAATCAAACAAGTTCATGCAAAATTGCTAGCACAGCACAAGTCATATTTCATCTCTGCACATCTGATCTACTGTTGCATGCAAATGGCGCTTTGCAAGTCTCAACACGTGTACTGAATATCAAAAACGCAAGTTTTTACAAGTAACAGTCGCTGACCTGCATCAAAAATTGTAAACCCCATGGACAAAAAACCAACCAACAAACAAACAAACTAAAAACTAAAACATTTTAGCCCAAAATTCTGAAAATTAGAATCTTAAAGCTTCATCGAAAAATTTGGAATTTGTTTTGCTCCTTTACTTTTTTTGAGTAAGTTTTATCTCTTTACGTTGATGGGTAAAACCAAGCCAACAGTTTCATTCTTTTCTATTGAAACTAGATACATTTTCGTGGGCTCCCACTTACAACTTCTGAACCCCCATTTTTTGTTTACGCCAATGTAGACCCCTGTCAAGTTTCCCATGTCCACCCCTGTGGTCCACCTGGACACTCAGAATCTCTGGTTTAAACAAATCATTAGTTTTTAGACAAGTTAAGATACAAAATCTGTAATACAATGTGCTATGCTAATGCTATTTCAATAATGATGAAGTATTCATTTCTTGTGAAAATGTTCACTGCTGCATTAGCATAATTAACAGAAAAATAAATGTAGGTTCCTGAATAATGTATAATGTGCATAATGTGTTTGTAGTGTGTAATAATGTAATTTATAATGAACATAAGTAATAATGTGTTGGCTAATTTTGACAGATTTGGTTTAAATTATGAGGGAATCTCATAATTTACATCAATCGTTTTTTTTACAGATGTCTTATAGGAGGGCAGTAAGAAAATAAGCTACACCAGTCGCAACAAGTTTCCTGCTTTTTGTAATTATTAATCTCTTGATTTCGGTCTAACTGTATCCCATCTTTGTTACTGCCCCAAGCCATTCATAAAAATGGACATGATATAGAGTGATCATGTGGAGTTAAATGGGGTGTCAGACATACAAGAAAATGGAGATATTAACAATTTTGGAAAGCTGGAAGCTTGCGTTTGGTGTGACTTCTCTTGTTCCTGCTATAAGCCCTGTAATTCATGTGTTTCAATAGTATGAACTTGTTTCATAATCTGATTTTGGGCCTTATCCAAGATTTGATAGCTTATTGGGTTTTTCTTTGATGTCAGAACCTATTTAGTTTAGGGTATGAATTAGTAGTGAATTGATAAGAAAATTTTTGAAAGATATTGAAATCTTGCCATCTCATTCAGATTCGACTGGTTCGTTCCTCGCCTCCAAGTGTAGAGTTCGAGCGTACATCCAAACAGGCCCATGAGGTCTATCAGAAGTATCAATTTGCAATCCATGGTGAACCTCCGGAGAAGTGCTCTTTCCGGCAGTACACACGTTTCCTTGTTTCGTCTCCCTTAAAGGTAACAAGTCTTGCTGGACTTAGACTAAACTTGAGGTATGAGAGCATTGCCTTAAAAAATTACAAAAATGGATGTTCTGGACAAATGTATTCTATTTGTAATTTAATATTTTTAAAAGTGATTACATTTGATTTATTGTATTAAGCAAATAGAATTGTTTGCTTTAATGGAATGGAATAGCTTTTGCATTATTTGTACGTCACATTTTCAGAAATATTGAAAGTGTTTTGGATATTATAGTACCAAACTTTTTGTTTAAAATAAGCTTTGTTAATTCTATCTTAATCAATGATTGATGTTAGAAAATTATTCATGATTATGTTATGTCCCAATTTTGTATACAATCAGGAACAATATAGGTAAATTCCACCCTCTTTTACACAAAAAGCACATCAAAGAAGATTTCCAGTTGTAAATTGTCATTTTTCCCCCGATACTTTTCAAGAAATAGTTTCGTTCTTCTTTTTAAGACATAGATATCAGTAAAAATAATAATGAAGTTGTCTTGTTTACAATTCTGTATAAAAAGATATAAAAATAATTATACGTGCATACATATGTGTACATATATTCAGTAAGTATACATCAATTTGGAGACCTAAATTTGAATTCAGTATTACATTAATAAAATTATAATTTAATATTCAAACTGTATTTTAAACAAAATTATTTTATGATAATATTACTGAGTATTTGCTCAAAAGAACAAAACCAATTCTTGAAATCTTCTATGTAAATTTCAATGCAATGATATATATTCGAAAATCATTGAACACATTTGAAAATCTCTGTGTTTTACTATGATCAAAGAATCCATGTGTATTGTATCTGATTGTCAACAACAAGACCGTTATGTATTGATTATAAGTCCACTTGTTTATTTTGCTATGAACAATACCAGTGTGAATGCAAATGAGGGTGACATCACTAATGCAAATTAAGGACTCCTGATGCTCCCATACCACAATTTAGTCAAGACCCAGCAGATTGTCTTGTTGCATTCCTCTGTTTCAAAATCCGTGTCTTTTTCTGTGTTTTTAGCTAACTATTGTGCCTGTGGGCTCTGCTGAATTCATGAAAACTCAATCAGAAAGCCATGCATTATATACTAAATACCAGATGTCTGTTCACAAGGAAACGGCAGAGGAATGCAATTTACAGACATTCTGCGAATTTCTAATTGATTCACCTCTTCAGGTAGTGTCTTAAGTTTATGGATGTAATATAATTTTTTTAAACAAAACAGTTGCACTCACTTGATTTTCTTGATTTTTAGTCTTGGAATCCATCTGATGGGCCTCCCCAGGGTTATGGATCATTTCATCAGCAATATTGGCTTGATGGTCGACTTATAGCTGTAGGCGTAATTGATATTCTTCCACGATGTGTTTCGAGTGTTTACTTTTATTATGATCCAGAAATGGGTCAATTGTCTCTAGGAACTTATGCATCTTTGCAGTAAGTATGGTTGATAAGACCTTTTTACTTTCTCACTATGGTAGAGAAAATTATGTAATGATCCGTGATAAAACAGTGAATTTTCAGCAGAAAAACTCTTATTGCAGGGCCATGGTAACAATAAAGTGGATAAATCCAGTTGGTAAATTAAGGGGGGGGGGGGAATCCTCAATCACGTGGTGTAGCCAGAATCCATATTTTGTGTGTCCTTCTTACCAAAAACCTGATGGGTGGTCCATCTGTGAACAACGGTAATGGCAACAACGTTCAGCCGATTTTCTCCAAAATTGATATTCCCCAATCTATGGCTGATGTGGCAGCTCCTTGAATTTGCAACTGATATTTTAATGTTGGGCGAGAGTGGAGGAGACACTTGAAGCCCTTGGGACATTTTCCAAAATTTCAAAAAAATGGCTCCATCGTTTTTGATGAAACGTTAGATAGTGTGAAGAATGTTTACAAATGATGCAAGTCTCAAGTTCGTTAAAAAAATGTAATTTTTCAAAAATTACTTAAGGTCAACATTTTTTCAGAGTGTTCAACTAAAATATTAAAGATATAGATTTTTTTTCCTTAATGGAATCTGTGCCTTAAAGATGGATTTTGAAAAAAGATAATGTACAATGTTTCTAAAATTTGAGTATTTTTCGCATAATTGTACGTGAAAGTACAGGCGAGAAACATGTCATTTTAGCACCACTAGTTTTATTACATTTCCTTAGCTATAGGTAGTATGTACGAAAAGATAGAGTTGGCCCAAAAATTGAATGTGGAAGTTACTGTAGTAAAACATGTCTTTAGGTTCCCTGAGATTAATAAAGTGGTTTCTACCATGTGTGGATCTGTAAATGGCTAGATATGTGGATTGGTGTCATGCAGTAATTCAGACAAATTAGAAGCTTTAACTTAGGACACATGTCAAGAGTTGTCTCTTATAATTGTTGTTCTATAATCTCTTGTTCTATAAATGATTAAGATTGGTGCAGGTAGTAAGGAGATATAAGCATTTTTTTACCTAAACACAGTTTAAAAATATGCCAGTCACCGTTTCCTCAGACTTAAAGTAGGAAAAAATACATGAGAAAAATATCTTCAATACAAGATCATTCTGTAAAAGTAACTTAGATTCAAAGTACAACATATATCCGTGAAACTATCTTAGAAATAAAATATTATTTCAAAATCCAAATAAAAGCAATAGTGATTTCAGGGTTTCACAATTTATTTATCAACATTTCATTATTATTGCTTAAATTCTTTTATGCATTTGGTTTCATAAAGGTACAAGTGCCAAAATCCTGTTTTCTCAGATTATACTTCAAAATATAACTACTTGCCCAACCCAATAGTTTTCAGCATGTTCTGTTGGCAATCAAAGCCATACAAGATCCAAGAAATATCCCTCGGTCTTTCTTCAGCAGTTCGTTCATTCACTTTTTCTTCATTTTCCACATACCTAGTACTTCACATTTAGACCCTTATGAACTAAGTGCTTCAATTTGGATGTTTCCTTTCCACACTCTTCAGACATTGCATCACAAATATTTTTTCTCTATGATTTTTGCGATCACTGTGAATTTTTACTATGGGGGAACTGAAGGGAGATCACATAGGGACAACACAAACACATTCAAACATCCATGCTCAAGGCAGGATTTGATCCTGCGACCCTTTGAACCGAGGCAGCTACTTCCCTCGAGTCTTAGCTTCCTCAGCTATCCAGGCTGGCTAAGGTATGTTGGTTGAATAGCAGAATCTGAATTTAAATTACTCAAGTTCTTTCAAAACCATGGAAGTAATGCAATATTTAGAAATTAATTGTACTAGTTTAACCTTTTTTGAATCTTCAAAACAAAACTATTCATTATTTGTGTAGTCAGTAGAAGATTCATTTTCAGTTCTCTTATATTTCACAAAATAATTCATTCCCTATGCAGTATCTACAAGAGCTTGAATGTTTCCTCTGAATGAAATTAATTCTTTGGTGATAGTCACCTTATTTTCAAAATGAGTGTTTAAATGTGGCTATTGTTGCCTCATTTACTTCTGAGCACTCCCCATTTAAATTAGTTTTTACAGATTTAAGATCAAAGCAACAGAGTAAAGAGTTTTTAATTTGAAAATTTTCATATTCTTCAAATTTTTGTAGCTGCGAAATTCTGTCACAGGACAACTCTTCATTCACATTCATTATATTTATTAATCATCCAATAAATGTTCATGTAAGGAACACTTAGAATAAATTTTGAAAAATCTGTTTTCACATTCTGCGTTTCACAAGACTGAAATAAGGAAAAATTTCAAAGTCCCCCTCACTCTCCTCTCCCAGAACACACTTGCACATACATATTTTCTTATTTTTTGTATACAATCTTAGTGAGAATTATCCTCACTGACAATGAATATTAATGATTTAGGACATGGAAATTATTGTTAAAACCCATAGAATTGTAAGACTTGATTATCATTTTAATTTGCCATTTAAGTATTAGTCATAATGGTAGAATGGCATAATTAAATATTATATACAGTAGTTTGATAATGAATTGTAATGAACATCTGTAATCTGTCTAACAATTATTTTGAATGACCAATTTTATTAACTCACAATTTTTACATTGTAATAATTGAAAATATTTTGATTTTTGACAAAGTGTCGGCATCTGCAGTTGTAAACTTTTTTAAAGCTAGAGTTATGTGTTGTTCATTCATAGTCAAACCATAAAATATAAGTTAAATGTCCATGTGGTTTTTTGGTCCTTAACAATAATTGTTGCATAGAATTACTCTTAAATGACTAGTCAATTCATTAAAACAAATAGCAGACATTTCGTCTGTAAAATTCAGTGCCAAATAAAATTGAGGATCTGATTATTCTAACCTCACTGAATGTTATGGAATTCAGAAAAATTACACAAAAAATGAAATGAATACATTCATATACGCATACAATCTTATTTACAAAATTTTCTTCCATAATAAAAGCTTTACAGATATAGGTAGTTGTTGAAAATTGTTTTTGTTTCATTTCTCTTAATTAGGGTTGCCATATGTTCTGAATATCAACATGTGTCTCACTGCCCTGCCAGATTTTTCTTTGTTTCTGCCAGATAACAGATGCATTTTTGTACTCAAAATACACATACTGTTACAATTCCACAGTGCTACAAAAAAACTCCTGTTGTGGGACTACTTGTGAACTATATTCGAGAACTATGTGCTACAAAAGAGAATGCGAGAAGCAAATTCCTCTACTGGGCATCTAGCAACTCTGTGTTCTCTGTTTATCTGGTAACTCTTGACTGGTTTGAGAGTTCGTCTTTGACCAAGAAATACAATTTTCTCCAGCAGTCAAACTTTAATTTATTTAAGGTGCCTATTTTCTGGAAAATGGAGGAAATTCAGGGAATTTCACTGATCTGGAAAAGTCAGGGAAGTTTTTTGAAGAAACATTGTTAGTCAGGGAAATTTCTGAGATAATATAATATATATAAAAATAATAATTCTCCTTCAAATAACCTGATTACATTATTATTTTTGGCACAATTTTTATTTGTTAATCAAATATTTCTATTTTTGTCTTCTGATGTGCAATCTGAGAGCTGAAAAATGGATAAAGAAAGATTGTGTATTTTCAATTGTAGTGGCTCTGTCCAACGTCCTCTAATTTGATTTATTTAATAAAAAAAAGAAAGTTAAAACTGTATGTGATGTGTGGGGGAGAAGGACCATATGTGCACATTTTCTTGAGCCCCAGAATCTCTTTCCAACATTTTAATTGTAAATAGTCAAATGATGAATAAATGTTTCAAATAAACCTACGTTAACAACTTTTGAAAACTTAGACATTTTTGCTTGTGAGTTATAGAAAACTTATTTACATCAGTAAGAAAACTGCAAATTTTAATTTGTTTGTAATGTTAATAACATAGTTACATACTAACAGCTTACTCCTACCATTACTATCAAAAGGTGAGCTAAATTAAACATGTCCATAGTGATGCTACATTGAAGTCCAGAAGCAAAACAAGGGACCATCTCAGCTTTTGCTTAATGGATCAAGGAAACTGGACAAAACCCTGATCAAGATGGAGTTATTTACCCAGAAACTGAAGTACATTCATTACTTGCTTTAAGCAAATTTAATCATTCTTAAAGACTAGAAAGTGTGTTAATTCAATATGGTGTTGCTCTTTCTCACATTGTGTTAGTGCAAGAGAATATAGAATGCAAAGGGGAAAGGGGTCAGTCGATAAGTGTTTTAATGTCAACTGAAGTCATCATTTATTTGATATTTTATTTAAATACCCAGAAATACTTCTCAAGTTTTTTTTATGGAAAACTAAATAAAATTTTGTGTAATCTGGAAAATTCTTCTTACAAAAAGTGATCACCTGTTATTCTTGAAAGTGTGCTATGTAATTTATCTTGATTTACTATTTAGTTGTTTACTTTATACCCAATTTTCTTGTTATACTATTCAGTTGTATAAAAATAAACAATTTGCTCTGAAATATATTTCGGATGTCCTGAACTCCACTCTTATTCTTTTGGCAACCCTGCTCTTATTGCCGTATGTATCTTTATTATGATGCGAGTTTCATAAACATTTTGTGCTCTAGAAGTCTTTCAATCTTACAGATGAAACTGTTCTTCTAACCTTTGACACAGGTATATTATTTATATATTGATTAAATATTTAAAAAATGTACCAGTGGATGTTTATCATGATTCAAAATTATTCTTAATCATACACTTAACTTTTCATCAGGTATTAAATGATTTTGTTACACCATATAAAATGATAAATATAAACTATCCACACCCTATTACCAATAAAACTTCATATAAAATGATAAATTAGTACTAACCTCTTGCATAATCTCTCTGAAAGTGAGGATTAAGTTGGATTATGATACAATTATCTGCAAGTTCAAGATTTATGTGTATACTAAAATTGTGATTTCATGGTTAATTTTCAGAGAACTATCTCTTGTACGATCACTTCACCAACATGCACCTGCATTGGAATATTACTATATGGGCTTTTATATTCACACTTGCCCTAAAATGCGCTATAAAGCAGCATACACACCATCTTATTTGTTGTGCCCAGAGACCTACACTTGGCATCCAGTTGTTGAATGTAAATGTAAATTAGATCAAAACCGCTACTGCCGCTTTGAAGAGGATACTTCTATAGTCGATTCTGATGGAGAAGTGGTAGTAAATGAAGTAAGTATATTTAAAATGTGTTACTATCGGGGGTCATTTCAAAAGTGAGATGATTTATTTGTAAAACAAAAATGTAGGTCCCAAATTCACAGATTCCTTTTATTTATTTCCAGTACTTTTTTCCCCTGTGATTTCTGTTTCATAATTGATTAAATTGTTTTAGTGTGAAAGAAAAAGTTTATTAATTGCCTGAGGTTTCAAACCACATATTATCAGTTTCTCCTAATTGTTAATCATTACTTTTTGAGATGAAAGTAATTATGTTGGTGTGTATTGTGACTAAAAATTGTATTTTGTTCCAGATTTTGGTGTTGTATCGAGGCAGGGCAATGCCTTATTCAATTTATAGAGCAATTAACAGAGATCCAAGTGATGTGGTTGAAACTGTGCAGTATGCTCAACTAGTTGGCATGAAATGTGCGAGACGAATGCTGGTTGTTAAAAATTGATGTCAGTACTGATAAATAGGAGTTATAAGTTGTACATTAATTTTTAAATGCTTTTATAATAAATTTCAACTGGCACTTTGAAGAATGTTTATGTAACTTGGCAAGAAGTTTGAATGTAACGGCATATACTGTGTGATATTTATTTATGTACTCTTGTAATATTTGCTTCATGTTTCCTCATAAAATATGAGTTTGAGGTACTGTTTTATAGGTTTTATATTTTTGCATCAGCTGTAGATTATTAGATAAGATCTGCTGTGATAGGTACCAACTACAGTGACATTTTCCCAGTCCCTCCCCCCTTTTTTTTTCTTTTCTCACCATGTGAATGTAAGCCAATATCATTTTCCAGTGGTAATTTATTTTAATTTCTAATGATCTATGTATGTACATAAAGCAGTGAATTCGTTTGGTGTGTTATTAGGAATTCAATCTAAAGGGATTGGCTTGAAATAAGATGTAACAATTGTTATGAAGATTTTAGAGTTATCAGAGATAATCATGGAAACGTTTTATATTTAAAATGTGTTCTATACAAGGTTGTGTTCTATGAAAAGTGACTTAAAATGTGTTGAATTTGTGCATGCTATATCAGATGTTTCCATCAGTTGTTATGTAAAGAATGTTTGCCCCCTTCATTTTTCCATTATTTGTAAATAAATGTCTCGATTTGCCACATCAAATATTGTACTTTTCATTATTCTATTTGTTACTTAATTTGCAGTGAAATGTATAAGATATGGGAAGATAACCAGACTCATTAGTGGTTCATAGATATGCGATTATCCAAGTTAGTATTTTTTATTAATAAAATAAACAGAAAATAACTATTGTTTTGAATAGTGAACAGCACGTGTCGATAGAAAAAGGCGTATAATTGAAATAACGGACAATTTCATGCATGATAACACTGAGGAAAACGTAAGAGTCCAATTAACACACGGTGTTCAAATATTCATGAACTTTATAATATTGGGTTCAGTACTCATTTAATCGCGGAGAAGCTCAAGTAGAGCTATCCGCTTCCATCGAATCATCACCACGACTGCTCGTTACACATTTCAGAATTGCCTTCGAGGCAATATTTTTTTTCACGTAAATGAATTATAATTTTAAAAAATATAAAAATATTATGTAATATATCTATTAGCCATAATTTTAATTTCTTGTCAAAATTTGTACTAAATAGCAACAGCCGCATAGCTATTGACGGTTGTCGTTTCTCATTTGTTCTACACTTTGCGCCATTTGGTAATCCCTTCCGTCGATTGGTAGAACCCCTCTAAGAAGCAATTGAACCCAGAAACGTGGTGCGCATGCGCCGTAGATCTGTTCGGAGTACCCATTTTGGTCACATGTGAGTATTGCACTAGGTCGGCGAAATTCTGTGTATATTTGCTCATTATGTTAGTCTATTGTGTTAATTTAATTGTGAATAGCTTGCTGTTAAGGCGAAGGTGGTATTGTATTAAGGATTGAGAATTCTATTTGGAAATAACTGAGATACGTTGCATAGGAATTTGCGGTTTCTTTGACACTGCACGTTCCGATAGCGTTTCCCGCCATGTTGGCTTTAATTTCCTCATTTATTTTATTATCAGTGAAGTATTTACCTCCAAATATCTTAGATTGAGGTGCGAACATCAGTTAATCGTCAGAAACAATTGTATGTTGGGTGTACTGCAGTAGTTGATGCGCACAGTACTGTGGTCAGGCTGTGTTGCCATGCCCTCACACCGTTGTTATCTCGGCGTTTGTATTACCGGTGTATCAGTTGCAGTATCAGGACAGAGTATTGCAGATCAAATGTGAGATTTGATTCCTAAGGTTTATTACAGTTTTCGCTGTGAGGTATTGAAATTTACCAGAATTTTAGTACCACATGGCGACTACCGTATAGCTGTAATTTCCCCGTGAATGAGATTTAATTTGATCGCTAACTATGCGTTTAGTTGAGGATGTGGCTTAGCCAAATGAGAAGGAAAATACGTTATGGGCACTTGACTGTCGAAAGCAAAGGTCAAGGAAATACGGACCATATGGATTTAGCACTGCATTACACGTTCATTTGTTTTTATATGTAGGACACGATCGCATATATGTTGGAGGATTCAAAGTACTTACGTCCACCATGTGTTAGGTGTATTTTATTGTTTTATATTTGTTTGGTTTTCAGGAATTCAACTGATATAACTGATTTCCCTTTGTAATATTTTTGTTCATGATAAGTGGTATCAAAAACTTGTATTGACATTTGTTTTTTTCTTTTTTGTTTAGAACTACCAATAAACACCAAATCTAACATTATGGCTGATATCGAGGATACTCATTTTGAGACTGGGGACTCTGGCGCTTCTGTTACTTTTCCCATGCAATGCTCCGCTCTTCGTAAAAATGGTTTTGTTATGTTAAAGGTAAGAGATTTGTTGTTTTAAATTATAATTAGTTATTAAATGTTTCACTCACTTCTTGGAAAAGTAAGCCGTTATAACCTCTTTGTGTTCAGTTACAATAAATAAATATATACTTAGGTGATAGCTCTAAAAGGTATTAAATGTTTTGAAAATTCTATTTCAGTCTCGCCCTTGTAAAATTGTAGAAATGTCCACATCTAAAACAGGCAAACACGGTCATGCTAAGGTGCATCTTGTGGGTATTGATATTTTCAATGCCAAGAAATACGAAGATATATGTCCTTCAACTCATAATATGGATGTGCCTTTTGTTAAACGTGAGGATTATCAGGTATGTTTGCAGTATTATTGTACAATAGGCCCTAGTTTATGTTTGAGCTACATGATTTTTTGTATTAGTTGACAGACATTTCTGATGATGGTTACCTGTGTCTGATGGCTGATAATGGTGATCTCCGCGAGGATTTGAAGATTCCAGATGGAGAACTTGGCCAGCAGCTTCGTGCTGACTTCGATGCTGGCAAAGAATTGCTGGTGAGTTGGCATGCATTAAGGGACTTTGTGTGACATTTTAAAAGATGCTTGTATCAAAAATTCAGTTGTGTAATGTGCCATCGTTTGTTCTGTGATTTTTTTTTTTTTTTTTTTTTTTTTTTATCTAATACACCAACGTTTTATGATAATCAGGACTATCTGGAATGTCCAATGAAAAATTCAGTGAATTTAATTACTTTAAGTCTTCTTGTATAGATACTTGTCACTCCAACTGTCTATGCAAGTATTTTAATAAAAAAACTAACATAAAATTATTACACTTGCAATTCCATTTGTGGCAAATCTTTCCTTGGAAATAACGTACAAATGCTGGACGCCTCCTTAAATAGATACTGAAGTAGTCAAAGGATCACGTAATTGGGTCACCAGTTCATTTTTGCAATGAAAGGGATTGCAGTTTCATTTTAAGGTGTATGTAGTTTAGTGATTTTGTTGGCTTTAATTTTCTTCTATTGTGCCTAAATGCGTATTGAACTAATAATCATAATTATCATTGAGATATAATTTGGCCTTCAGTGTTGGTGTTGTCAAAGATGTTATGGGAATCAAGCTTATCAGTTCATTCTTTTAAAAAAATGTATTAATGGAAAGTTGAGGTGTGTTGAATTTGGTTGCCTAATTTAAACAATAGTGTGTTTGCTGGTAAATAAAATTGTGTGAAGTAATTGTGTAATGTGAATACATTTAATGAATTCTTAACATGAATAACTAACAATACTTAGTAGCATTTCTAGTAGTGATACTTGCTGAAGGGTCAGTTCCTGTAGGTCCTGGTTTAGTTAAAATATATGCCATTGCATATGAGTATCATTTCTAAAATTTGTTCAAGCAGTAGTCTGTAATTTTAGCCTTTTCACGACTGGCTTGAGTGCAGGCAAAAGGAGCGGTTAGTAGAATCTCGTTTTATTAAATATGAGAGTTAAAATTTAGGGATAGTGCCAGATTTATTCAGTATTGATCTGGTTACCGTTAAGCTTCAAATAGTAACTTCTAGTCATCTGAAGCAATCACTAGATCTGATTCCATAATTACGTCAAAATAGATGATACCTTTCAAGTCCCACAGGATTGCAAATTTTTACGAAATGTGCCAATTCTGTGCATTATGTAGTGGTTTTATCTAATTTTCTCCCACACTCACATTTGTATCCCCGTACCGAGGTCAACCTCTTCAATTGTATTGTTAAGACAGTGATGTGAAATATTTTTCTACGCTACTGATTTATGTTCGATATTTTTTGTTTTGTTTTGTTTTTTAAGCTATTCAGCTCTGAAATACTTGTTTCTTAAGTAATGTTTGCAGCCTTCTACTTTCCTTATGCCAGTGCATGCATTCCTGCAAGTTGAAGAAAGCAAAGAATTTAACCATTTGGAAAATTTTGTTCCTAGTGTTGGATACGTGAAGTTTAAGTTTAAAAACAATCAATTTTCTGTTTACGATAGGTGTTTTTCTGTTTATTAACTTTTTATTTCCTAGGCAAAAATATTACGTTTATAGGAAAGAGTTTATAAATAAGTGGAGTTGTTAGCTTAGGGATTTGAGTGTGAAGTTAGCCAGTGACATAGAATCTGCACATATGAATATGACACATGCTTACGCCATATTTGGTTTTAAGATAACTATCATAAATAAATATTATTTGCTACCTCAGTGGAAATCATTATATAAAATTCTTGTAAAGCTATAACATGAGGTTATATTAACGTACTTGGGTTTCTTTTGTTTCACCTGTACAATCCATTTAAACGATTTGTACAGGATTCCATTATGAGTTAAAAACCATTTTAATTATTAATGTCATACTGGACATGAACATGAATGGACATTTTTAATTTTTCCTCCATCGATATGCTTGCCTTATTGTGACACCTTCACACTCTCTTCCCTTAATTTTGAAGTTCGTTCCTCACGACTTCTTGTCATATGAGAGTGTTAATGTGAGAACATGATTTTTGAAACAACTTCTAAAGTCGAATAATAATTGTTTATTATTGCAGTTTTAAAAGATTCCAAGCAGATAGTTACAGTGCCACAAAGAGCAGTTCGTTATGGACTTTGTATTTCAAAGGAGATTTATATTAGGGAGAAACTTCTGTCTGAATTGTTCTGTTCTTGAAGATGCTGAACTCTGTAGTTTTTTTTGTCACTCAAACAAGACTTCCAACAGGGGTTTCCATATGAAACTGCGGTCATCTGAAAATTTCCAATTGTGCAAGAAAATCTTTCTATGCAGTTCAAAACTGCAGGTTTAATACTTGGAACAGTTTACTATCTAGCTTTCAGTTAAATGGTGCTATATTATTCCTGGGACACATTATGGATTTAGGCTCCATTAGATTTCTTTTCTTCCTTCTTGGAGATGTGTGGCGGTTGCTCAGTCTATTCAGTAGGGTTGGAACAAGAGATTAATAGGAATTTAATTTGAAATATTGGCTAGTTGTAAACAGATAAATGTAGTAACAATTGGCAATAAATAAAACAGAAATAAGATGGAATATAAAATTTATTAATGGTTTTTTAGTATATTTTAAATAATTGCATTTTAGTTCTAACTAGGACATGGTAGGGCAATTCGGTGTGTGTGTGTGTGTGTGTGTGTGTGTGGGGGGGGGGGCGGGGGTTCACATAGAGTAAGAGTAGCCTCTCTCATAAAGATTGCCAATGCTTTTTAATACTTTATGCTCAGTGATATCGCTGACTTTCTTGTGGATACCTGCTCATGCAATAAATATTTCATAGACACTTATTGGCATTATGCAAGTTTGAAATAAGTTAAGAGACTGCATTTAACTTAAAGATGACTAATAGTATTATACTATACTTTAAGTATTTTCATGCATTTTAGTAGAAACTCTGAAGGCAGTTTTATTGTTTAGAGGTACAATGAAAATTCACTTAGACAAAGAGTTGCCACCATACTCATGGTGTTAGCTGGTGCTTTTAATGCTTCTAAAGTAATGTGTGGCCTTCTTATCTAAAATATTCTATTTCTTGTGGATTCCTGCTTTTATGACAAAATTTCACCCTTAAATCGACATTGAAATAGGCATAATATAATTTTACATTTACTAATGATATTATGCTATATTTAAATAATAGCATTGAATTTGTCTAGAAACTTCCAAGGCAGTAGTATTTATGTGCACAATGAATAAACACATCGAGAAAGAGTCGCCACCTAACTCAGAAAGTTAGCTGGTGCTTGTTAATTCTCGTAAAGCAACTGCTTGCTCTTATGCTCCATTAGATTGCTATTTTTCTTTTGGACACCTAGTCTCGCTATAATAAATCTGACACCTGAATTGGTGTTAATTTTCTTGGGCACATGAATGGGAATTTAAGAGGATTGAAATAAGCGATGTTAATTTGCATTACTGCATGTGAAATATTGGCTAATGGTATATTACTATATAAGAAATAAGAGAATTTTATTTTCTTAGGAGGAACAGACAATGTGTGTTCCTTGGTTAGCAGTATACAAATATAAACAGATAATGGCTGCCTTCTAACCCTAACCCCCTTCTTGAACCTAAGTTTTTGTTTATTTAAAGCAAAGTCTGTGGGGTATGTTTGTGTGTGGAGAATTAATTAAAATGTACTAACTTATTGTGTTCTTGTTTGCAGTGCACTGTTCTCAAGTCTTGTGGAGAAGAATGTGTGATTGCCATCAAAACCAACACAGCTCTGGACAAATAATTGTAGCTTGCTGTGGGGGTGGAGGATGTGTTAATGAAGAAATGGTTGATGCTATGTGTACTACCACAACAGGGCATTTGTTGCTGGGTGAGGTCTCGTCAATGTCCCATTCGCCAAAATCAATAATGAAAATCTGTTCCAAAAAATTTAAGAGCAAATGTACCATAGCTGCCAGTTTAAAAATTGGACCACCATATTTCTCAAGTAAAGCTTGTTTGTTTTCTATATATGTTGCAAATAAAAGCCCAGACATAATATGAAAGTATTGTTTGATATTAATTTGATTTCTTTGCTCTCTTTATCCTGCAAGGGACATGAAACTTTCGTTGAATTTTTGAAAAAATAGACTTAATACTGCCAGCCTGTCGTACACTGCGATTGTCACTTGTGTTCTGGGGGGCTGGTAGTTGTCCATTGCTTTGTCTCCCACTTCCCTTGTGATTAGTAAAAGATGTGTAAATTATAATTCAATTGGGGAATGGTGAAGGGCACACAATGAATTTTTATTTTGTAATTTCCTTTGCAGATAGAGGGGGGGGTTGGTTTTTTGAGAATTTGTTAAAAATTGTTCAGTTCAATCTCTCCTGATGCCTGTAGTACATCATATTCTGTACAAAAAACATTATATAAAGTAATTAAAGGGTTTAGGGGGTCAGTGAGAGAAATTTTGGTGACATTTTTTGACATTGTATTATGCATATCTCAATATTGTTTCGTCAGTTTTGTTTTGTCAGTTGTAAGAGGTGTTGAACTGGAAATAATAAATGTGTAATGGATGAATTATGCCAATAACTTCTTTTAAATATGTATTGCTCTATGATTCAGTTTTAGCTCTAAGTAGTTAAAGTACTCATTTTTGATATCAGCCTGTCATTTGTGCAAGATTAATTTAATTTTTAAACCATTCAGGGATGTTTCTCTAGGGTGTCAAATAATCGTATTTACTCATAGTAGCAGTGGAATGCCTTTGTCGTAGCATTAATCAAATTATTTTAAATAAGAGCATATTTTACATTATCAATATATGAAGTAGCTGTCAGCACATTTAAAAACTAAATTAGCATGAGTTAGAGGCAATAAGACTAACAAGGTACAATTTCATGGTTACATATCACAGGCCACGTGTGTTTAAATGTACCACATTTCTTAGCAAATGACATCTTTTAGGACTGCTGTGTTCAGATCATGTAACAATACCATCAAGCACCAGAGAACATTCTTATTTAGGGGAATTTTGTTACCAATCTTTGAGAGGGCTGATAGGTTTTTATTTAGGAAAGAGTTTCAGTTTTTGCACTATTAGCTTTGCTAGTGCTTTAGGATATGGTTTTATAATTAATTTTTATTTTTTATGCAAATTTTTTTTTGTGAAGGTGGTAGCAAAGAATTTTCACTTTCAATTGCCTGAAAAGTGTAACAAGGGGTTTAAAAGATTATGACTGAACTTTACCCTTGCCGTCCTGATCTGTGGTTATTAAATCTTAAGAGCTAGTCATTTTTTGCTGCTCAGGCTAAACTGTCTGAAATGGAAGTCCAGATCATGCATAACAAACAAAAAATCATTGCAAGCTCTTTGCTACCAATCTGTTACTGTTCCTACTGTGCTCCAATAGACTAGCAGAACTAGACTGGTTATGTCCCATTTCATTTGTGGCTTTTTAATTTGTGCATTAATTACACGTATGGCATCACTAACTTTCTAAACTTCCATTAGATTTCCCATTGTTACCTCAGGCATATAGCATGTCAAGAACACACTTTTTCAGGTCAAGAATACATTTTGTTTCTCAGGATAATGAAAAGTGTGCTGTTTAAAGAATTTTAACTGTGGCTACTCCTACTGTGTTTTGTTGGTGTAGTTCTGTTGTGACTTCAGAATGTTAAATGTGAAATTTATGGTTTGATGTCAGCCATGTATTAACGATATTATCCATTGTTACTGGTAGTAGGCATAATTCTTTTTTTAAGTTGGTCAAGAGGCTAAGGGGTAATAAAAATTAATGTATTTGAAAAATGAGCTTTTTAAAAGCTCATCCCATAATAAAGTTTTTGACGTGTGGATATTCAGCATTGATACCTTAATGTTACTTGTTGAAATTCAATGCCAGATCCTCTATTGTAGTTCATTGCCTATTTCACTTGGATGCCAATATGGGGGGAATATAATTTCATGTGCTTTAGTGAACCAATCTGCCAGTGACTAGACTTGGTGTAGCTTGAAAGCTTTGCCAATAGCCTTGTGCAATAAGTCACATTTTGTGAACTTTCTATTAACATGGTATGATTTGGTTTAAATGCTACATGTGACTGGTTTGTGAATTAGTTAAAAGAACTAGTACTATTAAAGAAGAGACTGTATTGACCTTGCTGAACATTCAACAAGTGGTTTGTGTGGCTGTGGTGTAATGTTTGAATTTACTTTCTTTGATATGAACCCCACTCCCATATTTTGCTCAATCGAGTTATAACACCAAAAGGGGAAAAGTTGCATGCAACTGAATATTTATGTTGTGATCCTCCTTGTCTTATCAATTATCTAAAAATTAGATGGGAGGCATGTTTCTTGGAGGTACTTTGTTTCACTCCAGAACTCACATTTTTAGAGAAATTGAGGGAAAGAAGGCAAACACTGCTTCGTTTCTTCATGTATCTATTTACTATAAGGAGTTAAAGAGAGAACACAATACTCTTTTTGTGAGAACTTGTTGCCTAAACGTATTAAGGGAAGAATGTCTAGATAAGAATGGAGAATTCGTTCAAGCTATTAATCTAAGAAAGCACAACCAGAAAGTTCAAACGTCAAATCTCCTCCTTCCCCTCAGTCCAAATGTTGGATGATCGCATCATTCTGTATAAACATGTATAAGCCTATGAATAACTGTATATTGTACTCCATTCCTGCTTTGCTTTTTTAGTATTGAGGGTTAATATTTTGTTGTGCAAATTTTGACAACTACAAGTCTGCCCCAATTTTTTGTGGGTTGTAATATACTCGCAGTAAACAATGTATTTGGTTGTAAGTTGTGACATTTGTTCATCACAAATGTACAGATGTGACAATGAATAAATTAATCATTCTTGGTGACAATTTTAATAAATCTCTTTACTTTTACTCCCTCAATACCTGTTGGTGTTAAGAAGTTAATGTTAATGCTTCAGGTGTTTGAGGAGCAAGTAATAAATTTTGGATTCACGTTGTGTATACTAGTGCAAAGAGAGGAAAACATAACTCTCAAAGTTGTTATTTACAGATTTTCTTTTGATGCTGAGAAATTTCACATTAGTAAATAATTCTTAAGCGCTTGGATTGTATTATTTTATTAGAATCCTGTCTAAGGCCTGGAAGAGGAGGGCCACAAGTTGAAATGAAGAGGATCGAGGAGAATTGAGAACTTCCACATTAGTAAATAATTCTTAAATAGTATAATATACTGAATCACATCAAAGGCTCGGAGAAGGAGAGTCAAGAGTTGGGATTTCACATATAATATAGAAGAAATATCTCTCTACACTAACACTATTCAAACTTGTAAGTCAAAACCCTCTAGCTGTCAACCTTGTTTTTTCTGTTCTAAGAAACATTATTGATGCGTTCTCAACTATTGTATAGGCCACATGACCTTGCCAGACCATTTTGCTGTCTTTTTTTGTTTTTCCTGTAATAAAATGGCTGTTTATGATGTTGCTGACCTTGATGTGGGGAATATTTCACTGCATTTTTCTCTGGCATCTTCACAGTAAGTTCTACTTTCTCTCATACTTGTAGTATAGAGAAAATGTTGTAATGATTCGGTAACAGTGATTTTTCCATCAAAAAATTCCTTTTTAATTGCCTGATTCTGAAAGAGTGAATAATCCTTGTACCTATACATAATGTCCATGGTACCCAAATATTGGTTGACAGCACTTCGATCGGTACACAATGCTAGTTGCTAAACTGGGTGCAGGATTTTTGTCAAAGTTGATTTTCTTTCATCAGTCTGGTTGATTTTGTAACCTTCAATTTGAAAATATATTTTGTAATTGATATTTTGCATGAAACCAGAAAGTATTTTCAATTTTTTTCCTTCTCAGAATAGAGGAAAGTATGCTTATAAAATGAGGCAGGTGTATTTTGTGGTAACATTTCAAAAATTGCAAAAGTTACACATAAACATGTGATAAAATGTGTTGTAGCTCCTATAGTCTGGGTTACTAGAAGTAATGAAGTTTGCAAGCAGTGTGTTTGAACTACACAAGCATATAGGAGTCTATGTTGTGTGTGTGTTTTTTTATATTTTTTTTAATAAATATTTAAAGGTGTATTTTTTGGGTTAAAAGAATAAAGAAAATGCTCATGCTTTTCTCAACGTAGCTGTGATTCTGTGGTTTTATTTCTTGCTCTATTTCTGAATGATTCATATTGCTTAAATTGTTTGCATTCCACATTTATGCCTTCTATGATGGCTGTGGTAGATTGTGGTAATTTTTGTTTTTGAGATGTGTATAAGAAGTTCTACCAGGATGCATTTAAAATTAATAAGGAAAGGAAAAAAAGGATCTGAATTTTATGAAAAATGGTGATGTCATGGGAAAGAATTATGTTTGGTGGGCTAGTTAATGCAGAAAATTTTTTTCTGCAGTAACCACTGCATGTTGAAGAGCATAGAAAAATTAAAACAAATTTAAATTTTGAAAATGTGTTTACCCTTTGTGTTGTAAGGAGTAGTCAAGTTCAAGATTTCTCTTTTTAGTTGATTTGCAAAAGTGATCATGAAAGATCCACTCAAGGGACTCATCCTCCATAGTTTGTGGTTATGCAGCTTGAACCTGGAATAAATCTTCAAAGTGAGTTTTTCAGCAGCCTTCTAATTTATTGTGTGACAATCTTTTCATTTCCCTAACTTGTTTTTGTTGCATTACCTGCTATAATTTAAAAGCAATTCATTTCAAAGTTTTAACTCGTTCCTTAGGAAATGAATATTTGTTGTGCATGTGGTTTTTTTAACATTGTTAATTTCCTTATACCTATGGATGACAGCTGGACTAAGTGCTTTTCAACAATAAGTTTATTAGGTTGGCATTATGATAAAATATTAGAGGATTTAAATTGAGGTTAATAAAAAATCGATACAATTTCAAATTATTTTTATTACATTTATGGGTGACCTGATAAGCTACAACTGCAACAGTAATCTTTCACATTAACAAACTTTTTTCATGTTTTACAAATTAACTTACAGCAACATGACTAGAATATTAAAAGAGTTTTATATACTATTGGTTTCAATACAAAATTGAATTGAGGGCCTTATGTACACTAGTTGTTGGTCAGTGATTCAGGCACTTCTTGAGAAAAGAAGGAATATGAACCTTTTTCTTTTTCAGCATTCAGTAACTGTTGCATAAATGCACACATACACTTGAAAACATTAAGTAAGTCAGCGTGAGCAATAACCACACAAAGGAAATGTTTTGAAATGGACATACAACTCTATATTCATGTCTCATGGTCCCATGTCCTATTTCTTGTTTGATAATTTATAGTTTCAAAATTTTATTCTTGTGACCTATTTTAATAGCAAATTATTTTCATATTTACAATGCAGTGTGCAGTGCAGAGCAGGCAATTATGAAACACTAATGCTTACTCAATTTTGTTTATGTCAGTCTTCATCTTGAATTGCATGAGAGTTCGTTATTGAAATCCCTGCGTGGAGCACATATTCTGTATCATTACACACTGTAATATTGTGAAAATAGTAAAATTGCTTCATAAGGCACTGCACAAGCACTTGGGGGAAGCATTTCTATAGGCTTACTCAAAAGATGGCAGTGCTAGCATGTAGTTCATCTGGAACTTGATCACAGGTATTTTGGGCAGAGAACCTAGTAGATCTCGGTTAAGGTAGTGTCTTCTTTGATGCCCAGATAATGTAATACTTAAAAACAAAATCAAGTTGTATGATGGGAAACAGGGTACATTGTTGATATAATAGAAGGTTGGATGGGAACCAGTCTGTTGCACAATAAATAGGAACAGAAAATTTTAGTGCAGAAAACTTGTGAGTTAAACATGACCTAAACAAATTTGTATCTGGGCTTTAATGTAGAATTGCAAGTTGGAAATGTAGAATTTGGTAATGTCTCTATTCAGTCAGCCTTAGGTTTGCCCAGGAGTTTCTGAATGGTTGGGTGATTGGCCAAGTAGATGGATGCAATGGCTCCCAGTGTAGCTCCAACCCAGTATACAATAACATGCTCTTCAAATGTGTTACCTTCACAGTCATATTTCAAAGATGATGCTAAGATAGGATTTAAGTATCCACCAGTCAGGTCAAAAGCTGCAACAGAGTACAAATTACTTATGTGTGTATACATTATTTAGAATTTGCATGTACATGAATGTCTAAAATTACTTAAAGATTATAAGAAGTCAGTTTTTAACCGTTGGTAAGCATGGAATTTATACTTTGTCTGTAAGAATAATGCTGTGATATTGTCTGTTAAATTGTATGGTAAAACTGTTCTAAGAATTGTTGGTATACTACTTCAGTCAATGTTTGTACTCTAGTGCAGTTCTGAAGATACAACTGTCATGCTCAACTTGTATAATGAAATATGATTAAAATCCCTTTTGACCAGCAGAAACAGAGATTGTATTGATATCTTCAAACAATGTACATTTTCTGCATTTGGCTTGATGTAATTTGCCAGTTTTAGGTAACAGATTTTGTTTTCTATTATAGGGAGAGTTGGATATGTGATTATTGATTATCATGGGTCTCTGATGGGATACATCCCCTCCAAAATTTCCAATGCTTATATCCAGTAGTTTTAATCTAATTAAAGACACTTTCAGATAATCAGAATATAACTGATATTTATTCTTTAGATATAATTTAGAGTGAAATGAAATCTTGGTGCACACAGTGTTGCAGCCTTTCATTAGACAAAAAGACTGCACGAGAAACAAATATTATGAAGCTTCTGAAGTGAAGGAGAGATGTGAGCCCTCAAGCCTGCATATCTAATAAGTGTATTGCTTCCCATCACTATCATAGCAAACTATTACCAAATATTATCAGTATAGTCAACTGTACTGTTACTTTTCCAGAAGCTCAACTATACTGTTTCTCCTCTACCACTGCTACCATGTTCATAGCAGACATAGATTTGTTAGAGTACGTTTTCAAATTCATGAATAGTGTTGATGTAACTTGATCGTTTTTAATCTTCTGTGTATCTTCTTAACTTCTATAAGTCAATAAAAATGATCTAATCTAAAATTCTGCAAGGTAGAAGCATTTCAAATACTCCCCCCCAATTTTACAGGCCATTGATGCCCATGTGATAGTAAAATATTTTCATATAAACATTTCTCTTCCAAAATGTAAGTGCCTTCAATGTTGAATATTGGGATGGTGAATATGTTAGATGATTAAAAAATGTCAGCCATTCACCAAAAATTACATTTTACATACATGTTTGATCAGCCTTCTTTTTGTTTGCTTTTCAATTTTCACTATGATTATTTAAGAATGAATGTTGGAGTTATTTAATATTGTAGATGTATTTTAGAAGGGTAAAAAAGTATATTTTGTACTTTTGGTGAGTGTGCTACAAGTTGTACTGTAAGGCTAATGCTCTGATATTCTTGGTAAAATTTTCCTTACAAACAATTTTATCTTTGTTATAAATCAATTTTTTCTTAGATGAAGCTTTAGATTTAATCCTGCTATATTTGGAGCATAAAAGCTTATATAAAAAACTATGAAGGTATTTCATCTGCAACTGTAAATGGCTTTGGCAGCAATAAAGGCAAGCTTTCAGCAATCACCGCCCAATACAACACTAGCTCCAATAACTGCTGTAATAAGAGATGATCTTAACATATTGGAATATGATGTTCTGAATAGGAACTTCATCTTCTTACAGATGTAGATATAAAATGCAGAAATTAGGCTGGCTTCCTCCTCCCCCCCAGAATGATTTTTACATGATTTTGTTTGTTAAAAAAAGTCCTGTTTGTGAACACCATGAGCACCTAAACCATACGTAGGATATTCTCCAACTTGAAGAAACACGTGTCCATCTACCTCAAGTCGCAGCTTTGAAATTTTGGAAAAAAGTCTTTAAAATATGAAGTGACTTTACATGAATCTCTCGGATATTGTCAATTTTTTCTCAAACGGCTGCAATTTTTTTTTCTTTAAATTTCTTGTAAGTATAGAGTAAAATACACTATAACGGCATAGGTCCGATTTTCACGGTTAACTATGAATTTCCGGAAATTAAAAAATTTCAGGCGTCTTCCTACAACTATAAAATTGAAGATAGGGATTTTTTCCTTCAAATAAAATTTGTTCTCCATATTGAGTACTTTCATTAATGTCATGTACATTTTTTTGTAATTTTTAGTTTTCGCGCAATATAAGCAATTTTTAAAAAATACAAAAACCGCTCCAAATTTGTTCTTTAAACTTTTGGTAGGGAGTGCTAAATGTAAAGATTTCCTCAACGCCATATTGCTCTACTCTTAGTTTTTTCAGCATCCAAAATAATTACAATTTTTGTAAAGAACTCTCACGCCGTTTATATGCACATTTCCAGCAATTTGTAAACTATTGTATTTGTGAGTTAAAGTGCTTTACCTGGTTTTGAATTATGTTTTTCGAAAACTCAAAAATTTTCTGTGAAAAAGCTTCAAATTTCGAATATACAGTAGCGCTTAAACATCGTTTTCTTTTAACCGGCTCCAAAAGTTTCGAAGAAAATTTGCCATTTAAGACGAGGCTTTACTATTCTTTAATATCCTTTATATAATATTTCCGTTTCACTATTAGAAAACCGAAAAATTCAGAAAAAAATGTGCTTTGAGCGGCGATGGGTGGCAGCTGGCAAGAGTACTTTGTAAGTCTGAATAGCTAGCCAATACCTAGGAAATAGAAAAATATATGGGGAAGTCTGTGCCATTCTGTACACCATTAGTTAAGTGTGACCGAATGTATCAAAAATTGCTTTTAATAGTGGCATATCATATTTTGCGAAGAAAAATGTACTTTGACATTAACTTTTGAAAGGACTAGGAATTAGTGGAGTTAAGCATAATGGTGATAAGAGTACGTAGTCCAGTCTATTTTTTTGTGCTCTTAACATTATATAGATTCATTGTGAAGAACTGGTCTCTTACCTGCAATGACCATTGATGTTCCTACAAAGGCATCAATATAATTGCCAAGGGGTATTTCACGTTGACTGATAATGCGAGATGCGACTCGAGCCACACAAGTTGCCGCCCCTTCAATTCCTGCTCCTTGGAACATTGTGACCTAAAAACACAGATTATTGCACACATTTAAGCAGGAAAAAGTAATTAGATTTGCTACAATACGAGACTAGTATTAATTGATGTTTCAAAAATTGCAAATATTCAACGAATTTTCGGCGTCTTATTACATCTACAATTACGAAGATGGATAGTTTTCTTCTTAATAAAATGTTTCCTTTAAAGATAGATTGTGAAATAAGGTCGTGTACAATTTTTCGAAAACTGGAGTACCCTTCGCGTAATTTTGCGAGAGAGTACGTGTTGTTTTAGCAGTATTAGTTTAATATTTTATGGGGTCTCTGTAGCCTATGTACGAGGGTTGCCTTTTATATTTCAGGAATAGAGAACAAAAATATTAATCATCGAAAATCACTCTATTGTTTTTCAAAATATTCCCCATGAAGATCTATACACTTTTGCATGCGTTTGAACCAATTGTCGAAGCACTTTTGCCACTTTGAGGTATCTCCAAAACATGCATTCTGAATGCAGCAACCGTTTCGTCAGGTGTCGAAAAACGTTTACCTCTCAGTTTGTTTTTTTTACGTACGGGAATAAAAAGAAGTCATTCGGCGCCAATTCAGGATTATACGGCGGATGACTCATCAAATCGATGTTTTGGGTGCTCAAAAAATGCAGTTGTTTGAGCCGATGTGCGAGAAATCGCATTGTCGTGGTGAAGAGTGATCCGTCTTCGGCGGTTGGTTTTCCTGATTTCTTGGAAGACAGCTGGCAAACAAATCGTTGTGTACCACACAGAATTGACTGTTCTGCGTTGTTCTAGTGGTACGGTTGCGACATGTCCAGTTTTTTCGAAAAAACAGACGACCATCTGTTTGGAAGTGCTTCGTGCGCGAACAAATTTTGTTGGATTTTGCTCACCTTGAAACACCCATAGTCAGTCGACTGCTGTTTACTTTCGGACTCATACGCGTAAATCCACAATTCATCACCTGTCACGGTGTCATAGACGTGTTTCGAAGCACCGCGATCGTATTTTTTGAGCATTTCTTTCGACTAATCGACACGATCCTTTTTTTTGAGCGATTGATCCAACGCGAACAAATTTTTTTGACAGTTAAATGTTCATGCAATATTGAATGTATGCTGGTCCCACTAATACCTAAGGTTGTCTCAATCTCACGATAGGTCACATGACGATCTTGCAATATCAGTTCACGCACAACATCAATGGTTTCCGAAACAACTGATTTTGGACGACTTCGCGAAATTCGTCTTGGAGTGAACTACGACCACGACTGAATTCACCTTACCATCGATAAACACTGGTCCTTGAAGCTTCATCGCCAAAAATTGAATTAAGTTCATCCATGCATTGTTGCTGAGTTAATCCACGCCGAAAGTTGTAAAAAATAATCGCACGACAATGTTCACGATTTAATTCCATTTTTGGGCCAAGATGAATCTTTTAAGTTACTGTAAACAACACAAATAGCGCTCGTATGTCAAAACGTTCTGAGTACGTATAACCTCAAAACATCCAACTTTACGATTCAGCCCTTCAGTTGCCAGATTGCAACACCAGGGTTGTCAAATCCCGAAACATAAAAGACAACCTTCGTACTTACACAGTAGCGCGGCTTCGTGTTAAATGCTCTAATTCCTCGTGTCGGTGAGCGACTAGCGATTCGCGCGGCGACAAAGGGACACTACACCACCTTACCATTCGTAATACAGCAGCGGTTGCTAAACCTCACCAACAAAGTGTGAATGATTTTTAAAAAATCCTTATGCTTGTAACTAAAACGTGAAGCATAAGTTTTGAACAATTTGTAAGGAAAGCAATTATTTAGATCTAATGAAGTTGCCCATTGAAAATCAATAGTGGAATTATGAGGAAGAACAAAATTTTCTTTACTTTTCATGATAATATATAAAAATGTAAGTAATCTGAGAAGTGATAAAGAGTATCTAGGAGGAAATAATATTTATGTTGTGCTACTGAACGACTTTTAATCTCTTCTAGATTTTTCAAAAGAAACAAGCACACACATTACCCTCAGCGTTATTTCCTGTATACTTTCTTATCTTTTTGCTGCATTTAATTGCGGAATAGTACGCCCCCTTTCGAGACACGCATTGTTAGAGAAGTGTAAGAATTTATTTGCTGCGTATCAAATATGCCCCAATACATGTCAAATGTAAGGTTAGAACATTGGTTCTCTGTAACCTTACGTATTATTTCATGACTTGAAATTCTAGGAACATAAGACCAGAAGGTGAAGAAAAAAGACGTATTATTTTTCAAGGTTTTTTTTTACCAGCTCTTAATAAATGCAATTTCACAAAAGTAATCCCTATACTTCAGTAGCAGTAATCGGTAGTTTTACTTTTTCTCCACCAGGAGAGCTAGCTGTAAGCGTGCGCGTTCCTAACTAGCTGAAAAACTATTTGAGCTGCGCTACTGTGATTTGGCCATGATTGTGGCTCCTGAAGGCATGAATCTGGCCATGTGCAAATTTGTTATAAAATAATTTAAAAAATAATTCATTGGTAATTTTTGTACGGTTTGATTTCTAGTTTAAAATTACATTCAGAGGAGAAATTTGATTTGATAAAACTGAAATCTGTGAGAAAATAATTCACAATAAGATACTGTACGAAGAAAAATGTGGGGAGAGTAGGGTACCTATAAAATTTTATTCGTGCATATTAGAGAGCTTAATTTCATGTTGCATAGCGATTTCAAGTGAACAATAAAATATTGATGACTTAAATCACATTGCTTTATTATTGCACTGGTCACGATCAATTGCCTCGATGCAGGCAAAAGATTACTTTACAGTGCAATGAACCTATCTACGAGTAGAAATGGACTAATAAATTTGGTTTTAAGCATACAGACACACATGAGCAGTGGTGGCGGATAGTTTTAATTAATGGGGGGCTGCCTGCAGCATGCAAATATAGAAAATGGATTGAATTATGTTCAGTACTGGTGTAGGTCTATCGCGAGCATTTTTATCGCACTACTTGAAGAGTTAGGCTTCTAGGTTTCACAGTTTTTAAATATTGAACAAAATGACTCTTCTTATCCATTCTATACAATTTTCAAAAATTCAGGCTTTCAGCAAAAATGAGAGTAGCACCATTCTCTTAAAACGCCCTCACACTATCCAATAATGAAATTTAATCAGAAACGATGGATATTTTTTTGTTGTTGAAAATTGTTAGAATGACTCAGGGGCTTCATGCGAAGTACCTCCAAAATTAAAATATCGGTTTCAAATTCAAGAGGCCGCGACATCAGGCAGATCTATTAGGGAATATCACAATTTTGGAGAAAATCGGCGGAACGGTTTAGCCGCTCGCGTTGTTCACAGACGGACAGAGACGTTCTGCCGTCATTGGATTGTTCGGTTTCAAGGACCCACAAAGCTACACGAGGATTTTTATTTCTAAATTAAGCTACTGGATTTATCCACTTTTTCGTTACCAGGACCCTGTAATATGAGTTTTTCTGCTGAAAATTCGCTGTTATTTCGCACAGCATTACATATCTCTCTACTCCGTAGTGAGAAAGTAATATATAGCATATATTATACAATATACAGCACCTCAACTGTATCATACACCCGCCAGAGCTTTAAAAATCGTGTAAACATCGCGCAAAATTGATGATGGGCCTGCCTTACGTGCGTCTCCTAGAGTCCCAATATTGAGGCACACAAATAGCGGGGGAAGCGAAATCAACTACGCCCATACTTCGCTGCAAGCAGCAAGGACTGGCTGTCCCAGGGAGGGAAAAGGGAATCCCAGCAGACCACTTCGGAAGCTTTTCGCTAACTTTCACACGCACCAGCAAATGGGTTATATTGTTTATGTAATTGAATGAAATTGTATTTCGCATATTTTATTTCCATATCAAAGAGAAATTAAATAATTCTGAAAAGGACTGGGGGGCTGCCGCCCGACAGTCCAACCTCATCAAACATGAGCATAGAAAAAAATAAGTTGGCATATACAGTTCATCGAGTTTGATGTAGCTTCCACGGAAAATGTTATGTTTTTTCATTAAAATTGAGGTGTATATTTTTTACTTTCTCGTGCTTACTAACGTAATAAGGGAAAGTATTGTAATAATGCGCCGGAAAACGGCCAATTTTCGACGCAAAAACTCTTATAGCCGGGCCCTTGTAAGGAAAAAGTTGATAAATCCAGTTGCTAAATAAAGAAAAAATTCCTCTAGCATGTGGTGTAGCTAGAATCCATGTTTTGTGCGTCCTTCTTGCCGAAAAATTGATTGACGGCAAAACGTTTGTCAGTTTGTGCGCAACGCTAGCACATAAGCCGTTCGATGAAATCATAGGCTTCCGCGATACCTGGGGGGTATACGATACATGGATAGCATACCAGCCCTGAGGAAGGCCACGACATGATGGTCGAAACGTCGGCAACACAGCCTTCGACGCGGCGTCACCCGTACAGCCATGATCACGCACATAAACCGTTCAGCCACTTTCTCCAAAATTGATATTCTCCAATCGTTCTAGCTGATGTCGCGACCCCTGGGATTTGAAACCGATATTTTAATTTTGAGTTCTTTACATGAAGCCCCTGAGACATTTTCAGAATTTTCAAAAACGAGGCTCCAAATTTTTTGATTAAATTTTGATGTTGAATAGTGCAAAGGACGTTTAAGAGAATGGTGCAAGTCTCATTGTTGTTGACATCCCTGATTTTTTAGAAAATTGGGGAGGGGATTTAAAACTGGAGATAGAGATGTTTGTTTTAGACAAAGTCTGTTGTACAAAATTAGCTCTTTAAAAATATCATGTTCAATTAAAAAAAACGTGTTTACGATTGAAATGTACATTTTTTCTCAAAAACCGCTCCAATATTTTGTAACTTCTAAATATTTTGAAGAAAAAAATTAAAACTACAGAGTTGAAAATAGAGATTTTTGTCTCAGACTAAGTCTATAGTACAAAATAAGCTCTTTAAAAAAGGTCATGTACAATTTTTTATACACGCACACACACACACACACACACACACACACACACACACACACACACACACACACAGGTTTCACACCAACTACGGGCCAGGGTAAAATTGAAAGAATGATATGAAAAATAATCTATTTAATTTTAATTATATTTTACTATTGCCTATGCCTACATTAATTTTATTTTTACACTCGCATTTTTACTTTTAATTCAATTTGTATTATCAATGTATTGATGTATTTTTTTTAAACGATCTGCAAAGCTTAATAGAAATATCGCAACAATGCGGCACCGATATTTGAATAGCTAATTGGTGTTGAACATCCAGAATGGCGCGGTGATAATATACAGCTGTTTTATTAAGTTCAGCTGGTGGTGATATAACTCTGGACCGATAGCTAGTACTTCCATTTTGCGATGAATTTTGCAGCAGTTTTTTTTTTATAAATTACTCCTCAGAATGACCGGTGAGGTATATGATATATCATTTAATATCTAATCCCTGAAAAAATTACTGCGTATTGAATAAAAGAAAAACGATGAAACGCTATCGGAACTGTTATCTGACGACGAAAGGTAACTCAAGAGTAAGCAGCAAGAATTTCTGTAATTCTTTTGATGACAATTGCACATAGTTTGCACATTGCAGAATGCACATAGTTTTGACAACGCTGCGCTGGCTACAGTGCGTTGCCCGCTTCTTTGTTTATTTGCACATTTTTTAATAATAGACGGGTGTTAGCACAGAAACTGCAATATTTCAATTACTTAGCTCGTTCCAATAACACTAGAATGTATGTGCTGTTGTAGCACCAATAGTTTGTATTTTATTTATATAGAGATATTTCTTAACATCGCCATAAAATTTGTATATAATTTACCAGATTAATTTTAATTAAATGTGAATGTGTTCTAAATAAGTTTTGTAACAAAGGTATGGCTCTTTATTATAAAGAAAACATTGAAATGCGACCTACTGACTTCATGTTGCCCAAATCCATTCGGAATATCCAAGAAGTTTATTACACAAAATATGCTTAAAATTGTCTTAGGTTATTTTCTTCCCCGGACACCTACGTCTAATTATTTTATTATTTTTTCTTTATTAAAGGTACACAAGTTCGATCAGTGTTTAATGATATTGAATGAATTATATATCGTGTATGGCGAGTTTATTTTCATTTTATATTCGTTTCGATTTAAAATGTGCATTTGATGAGTGCAGTTAAGTTTTGTGGAAAGGTCTGATCAGTTTGGTGAATAGTCCTATGTGATTGGGTGCTGTTCGTTCCTATGCAGACATTTTGCTTCGTTACTCGTACGACTATGTGTGAGAATTCGAACCACAATAGTTTTATGGCACTAGTTTCATTGTTGTCGACGCTCACGCTCCGGTGACTGCGAACAGGAACTCAGAAAAAGCACCAAATTTTTTCGAAACGAAGTAATAATGTGCATGAATTGTTGGATGATTTTTAACCTTGAGTAAGTGAAGATTCGAAGTATTAAATATTTATTTCCCGGGTATTTGAACTTAAACAAATCCTTTTGGTTAATTCCTCATTGAAGAACAACTAGACATGAAGAGACCAAAACAAACGACTACACTTCTTCAAAATTTTATTGAAAACTAAACTGTGTGTGTGTGTGTGTGTATATATATATATATATATATATATATATATATATATATATATATATATATATCCGTTTTTTTTCTTTTATTATTACTGCATTTAATATAACTATATAGCAATCTCTCCAGATGTTCTTAGGTTTTTGTGTCGCATACAAACATATGCACTCACTTTGATGTAACAGCCGAAGATCAGTAATGCAGGGAACGGAGATCAACAAATCTGGCCGAGCTACAACAGCACATACTTTCTCGGATTATTGGAAACAACTTCGTAATATTGAAATATTGCAATTTCTGCACTTATCCCTCCTCAACTATTGCACACATCACAATGCGCCTGTGATGCATATCTGCATTCTTTTCGATAGTCAGGAGCAGCGATCATTTCTTACTTTGATCAAACAAATAGGAATACATTTTACTGTTAGAGTATTCGCAGCAAATAGTACAGTTGCGAACAGTGCACTGTTGCCAGCGCAGAGATTTCAAAACTAATTCGTTTGGCATAGGTGCTTGGCGAATATTTTTTATTAGTTCTTGGCCAAATACGCTTATTTCCATCTGTATTCAGTTTTTAATTTGTTTAAAGGTTAGTCATAGTACATCATATACAGTTAATACATAACTAACTTTAATAATAATAATAATAATAATAATAATAATAATAATAAACTAATTAAATTTGGTCTTGGGAAAATAAGCGACACGTCTCATATGGCCATTGGTTGCATAGTTAATAAATTATAAATACGAATTCTTTAAAATAAAAACTCACATGAAGATCTGCAACACAGTCTTCATCAGCTTTGTCGATGTGTGTCTCTGCCAGTTCCAGTTCCCAGATGTACTGAATGTAACTATAAAAGAAAATAAACGTAAAAAGAATAGCCTAGCGACGTTGCAATGGTTGGTGTCAATGAGTAATAACGATGACACTCCCTCCCAATTGAATCGAAAATGAAGGTATTTATTGCATAATTACCTACAAATGTAACAGACGGTATGCAAAATCCGTAGCACGTTTTTTCCTGCATTCTTCCCTTTGAAATAGTTGTAAACATTAATAACCAATTTTCCCCCTCTATGGAGCACATTACCATCCTTGCGTTTTACGGTTGGTGGATGACACATTCGAAATTAATTTTGAAAAAAAAAAAAAAGAACTTAAATTTTAAAAAATCATCCATTTGTGGTCGACAGCCCATTGACCGTTGAGACGATTTTCTTCAAAACTGATTTTCTCTCATCGATCCGACCCATTGCTTTCTCGGGGTGAACCTGAGCATATTGAAAAAAATATAAAAATCGCTTTAAGTTTTATAAATGGTGGCGTTATTAAGTAAATTGTGGCATAATAGCATTTTTAAAATCGAAAAATTTTTGATAACCAAAAATACACCTTTGACCTTCACATAAAATGTAACCTGTCAAAGTTCGACATTATTTGTGGACACACTATCGCTTGTCTCACAATAGTCAACCAGCAAAACAAAAAGAATCAACAATGAACGTAACAGTTTCCTTTAAAAATAGTTTTATGTATTGTTGCGTCGATGTGTCGTTTGCTATTCCCTCTACTATCAAAGATAAAATCTGACATTCTACATGGTTTATTTTTTGAAAGAAAAATAAGCGTTCTTGGAAAAAATCACTTTTATGGAGTAAACGATATTTGTTCAGGAAGAAATTTTGAGAGTTGTATTAACATTTATAGATTAGCAAATGAGTTATTACGAAAACAATCGAAAGAATTAGTGAAAAAATACACAGAAATTCACAGTTATGAGACGAGACAGGCTGATTATTTTCATTTGACTCAAGCACCAGCAAGGGACAGATTTCACTGTTCCATAAGGGATTAATAATAGATTGCCGCAAGTTGTGAAGCAGTTCGGCTCCGTGGGGAAGTTTAGAGAAGTCGTAAAGTGGATAATTTATTTGATTTACCTTGCTTGTTTGTGACTTAATGTAATTGTTTAATGTAATTAGCCGTATGCTAATGTAAACAAATATTGTAAAAATAAAAAAAAAACTAATAAACGACTGTAAATGTTCTAATATTATATACATTTATTTTAAGATTTCTTTTGCAAATCTGTAAAATTTGTTACCAATGTTTGTAAGACAAAAATATCCATTACCGAAAAAGTGTTGAGCATGCATTTCAGAATTAATCCGAACTCTATATGTAATTTGTAGTTTTTTGGCGAAACAAATTATTGAGAGCGAAATAATATGTATCGTGTAGGAGTAAATAGAATAGTTCTATACTTGCCTGAATTATTTGCAAACGAACTTAAATTAAGTACATCCAGATTGGCTCTCTGATTACGTCAGTTAAACGAGCTTTTGAGAACATGGTTAAAATTTATTTTACGGGGTCCACCTTTCAAGACTATTATAATGCCCTTAGTTTTCGGATCTGAGAACAAATAGGGGCATACTTATTTATGTTATCAAAAACTACATATGCAAAACATTTTTTACGTATGTATGTGTCACATGCAAAACATTTTTTTACTTATGTATTGTGTACTCACCTCTGCCAAAACCAAATTTAAGTTTTGTTAGGGATGGCCCTTGTGGAAAGATGGATGGGCGGTTTAATCGCGATTAGTATAACAATCGATTATTTTATATGATTAATCGAAAAATTATTCGATTATTATTTAATAATCTCTCATTTCTAATATTTGTGCCATCTGTTTAGACAATTCTATGTTAAATAAACGCATATGTACGTACAATGAAACGCAAAGACAGACTAGTGTTTGCAAAAGTGCACTTCGTTGTAAGAAAATACGCTGGAAGTGGTTTCTGTACTCGGGTGACATTTTTTGGGAAACGACGGCAGTATGTTGGCAATACTGTGTTGCCAAGTGTACGTTGCCTGTTGCTGAGGAGAATTTACACATCGGTACACATTTTGAGAACGGACACACGAACCTCAATAGTTTTGAGGATGTACGAGTTTTTTATGCAAACAGTTACAAGAATATTAATAACATTTTTTTGATTGTTGCATTACTCACCGTTGCTTCTGTTCAAAAGAACATTGCAGTGTTAACGTTTTAGCGGATATCTCATTAGCTTTTGTTTCAGCAGAACAAAATTCTACTGTGGATTGTGGAAAACTTACCTGCTATTACCCAATAATAGCGGATTGTGAAATGCATACATATACAAAAATAAAAAAATTATAACACTTGGTCTTGCTTTACTCGAATACAGAAGCTGAACGCATTTTCAGCCATATGAACAATGTAAAACCTAAACACAGAAATAGAATGATGTAGCCAATGGTTATGGTATATTAGCCGTACGATTTAGTCTAGAAAGAAATAATAAATGTTTCTATAATTATATTTCAGAAAAGCATTTAAAAGAATGGAACCGGCAACTTATTACAACATTTGAATCAAAATTTTATATCAAGAATTCAATAAAATTAAAATACATTATCAGATACCATATAGAATTGTTCAGAATGTTATGAAAAACAAGAGTTGCAATTTTAGTGGAATTTTACATCTCGAGAAATGAGTTTTGTATAAAGGAAACTTAAAAGGAAAGTTATCTTGACAGTGAAATCCAATGCGAAACGCCAACACTGGAACAATGTTTTCCGAAAACTGCTTGCTCGAATTTTATTCTAAACTAAAATAAAAATACCGATTGTTTCATAACCAAAATTAAACAGCAAGAGCAGATTCAACAGAGTATCCTTTTTATCTATCATAAACGACAGCAAATAGAGCTCGGTGTCCAACACACAGATTGTCCGGTTAAGAGTTAAAAAATCTAGTAGATACCTCAAGCTTATTGAAACATTGATATATTTGATCAGAGAAAAGCATTTTTTGTAATTTTAAAAAAATTCTCACATTTCTTTGGGATAATACGAACAGAAGCGCTTAATAATTACTCACAGGAAAATAAAAAAAGAAAAGTATAGTGTGTTTTGAAAAATTATTTAAGTACTTTTCGAAAAGAGTCTGTTTGTATTCAATTGTATCCGAAGGAAAAAGATTGTTTGAGGTTAAGAAATCTTCGAATAAACTGATCTTTGGCAGAACTTTGATCTGACCTACGAAAACTATGCGGGGAGTACTTCTCCCGTGTACGTCACATTCAGTTTTGTTTTTTGACGAAAATAAATGACATCAAATAACTTGTAGTATGTAACGCCAGTGATTACTGCCTACTTGTGTAAGTACTTATACAACTCTACGGAGATTTAAGAGCTTCGCTCACTTAAATTCTTCGGCAATGTTTTCTAGATGCTCTGGATAAAAATCTCTGAGGGATTTTGTTTATAAACTCTGCAGAAATGAGTTACTGTTTGAAGAGAAATCAGTTAATATAAAAAAGCGAGGGAGACCCTCACCACTCAGCGAGGGAGACCACAACTTCATCCCGCGATAAAAAACATGCACTGCACATACGACTAATGACCTTAGCAGCGCCCGAAATCATAATCAATCACTGAACCAATCTCTCAATCAATAAATCTCTCAATCAATAAATCTCTCAATCAATAAATCTCTCAATCAATAAATCTCTCAATCAATAAATATCTCAATCAATAAATATCTCAATCAATAAATCTCTCAATAAATCTCTCAATCAATAAATCTATCAATCAATCAATCTCTCAATCAATCAATCAATCAATCTCAATCAATCTCTCAATCAATCGCTCGACCAGTCAATCGCTCAACCTATCAATCAATCTCTCAATCAATCAATCGCTCGACCAATCAATTGCTCGACCAATCAATCGCTCAACCTATCAATCTCTCAATCAATCAATCTCTCAGTCAATCAATCGCTCGACCAATCAATCGCTCAACCTATCAATCTCTGAATCAATCTCTCGATCAAGCAATCTCTAGATCAATCACTCGCTCGACTAATCAATCGCTGAATCAATCCGTCCATGAATGCGTGTACGTACTTGTAGATGGCGAAGCCTCCTCCCAGCTGCGCCGCCGTCTTGAGCAGCGCCGTCACCACGTCTGTGTTGCCCTCCACCACATCCTCGTAGTGGATGTAGGGGCAAGCAGTGGCGGACCCCCAGCGCGTGCCCCACCACACCGTCAGCGCCCACAGACACACCGCGTACACCCAGACGCCGTAGTTGTCTGCGACTGCAACGCGCCACAAACGAAACCTCCGTTGAATTCCGAGGGGGCAGCGGTAGTCCATAAATGGCCATCGTTTAAATTCAGGTTTGCGGAGATATCAACCACATAATAGAATTACAATAGAAATTTTGATAAAAAGAAAACACAGCCAAAGAAAACGTGTTTTGGGACTACTTCATCCCATCTCGAGTAGCTCCAAGTAACACGGATAAAACTTGTAGTAGTTCTGAAGTTAGCGCCATATTTTATGCCGTACTGAGTCACTGAAGATTGGATAAAGTAATCACGAAACACGTGTATGGCTGTTTTCGTTTTATTGAAATGTGTATTGTAATACTATTATGTGGTTGATACCTCCGCAATCCTTATTTTATATTAAACCTTCATTTAACAGTCGCGCACCAATGGGGGAGGCGGCGGCAGCCACTTCGGACCCCAATGTTTGTTTCATTATCTCGCTAACAGTTTACGTAGTGAAGAGAAAGTATTGTTATGCCGCGCCACAAACGACGTTTTTTCAACATTAATTTAGTGTTGTGTGGCCCCGCGACTGAAAAAAAGGATAATACTTTATTCCCAAGCGTATAGCGCATTACTTCCTCCATTATAGTGTATAGTCAGAATCAACCTCTCATGGATCCTTCATACCAAAACATTTTTTGACGGCAGAAAATGTCTGTTTGCAGAGGCAGATAAATAACTTCTGCCACCTGCAAGCACGCGAAAAATTGACGCGTATTTTTTCTTCAAATTACCCAGAAAGTAACATTAATAACAAGTATAATTTATGTTTCGAAATTGGACACTAATTTATGATTAACATTAAATATGATATAATTAATAATAAATGCATGTTCAATTGGTTTGGCAGGAAATCAATTAATTTTTAAATCGTGTATTTTTATGTGTAGATATAACTAAATTCATTAGGTTTTTTATAATTGTGCATATTTATTTTTCTTCAGTTATTTTACCTGTAATTCTTAAAATCACGTAATGTGTACTCGTAGAAACGATGAAGGAAATAATACATTCTCAACAGATTATTACAATTACATGCATTTCAATATGTATAATTTCTAAAAAAAATGATAATTTGAATACTTTATTCATATTATAAATTTTAAAAATGTGTAGCCAGAAACTTAGTTCACATTTTTGCCGCCGATGACACGTGACTCCTGTACGTAAATCTGCCCCCGTCTGTTTGCCTGTCCACGTGAGGCCAATACTAGCGCTTAAACCATTCAGACAAATTCTTCAAAATTAATATTTCCCGATTGATCTGGCCCTGATAACAGAAAGGTCGATATTTTCACTCTTTACAAGAAGTTCCAACTACTTTTTCGAAGTTTTCTCAGACCGACATTTTAATTTTTTGGGGGGTTCTTTTAAAGAAGCCCCTGGGACATTTTCATTATTTCATCATTTTTTATGATTAATCTTTGTTATTGGATAGTGTGAAGGACATTGAAGATAATGGTGTCGGTCTCATGTTCGTTGAAACCCCTGATTTTTGGAAAATTGCCAAAGTTCAAACATTTTTCGGCCTTATTCTACAATTAAAGTATTAAATATATATTTTTTCTTTGAATGAAATCTGTTTCTCAAAGATGGATTCTGAAATAAGGTCATGTACAATTTTTTGAAAATTCGAATACTTTTCAAGGAAGTTTGCGTGAAAATACGTGCTGTTTTAGTTCCCCTAGTTCATTTTAATTTTCCTCTTGGCAGATTATGCCAATAGGCTTCTGGCAACACTAATGTTAAACAGTTAGTAACTAGACCCTTAGGCGTACGCACGGCCGTGGCCTCCGCAATTAGATATTTTGTTTTCGAAAAAATGTCAAGCCCCTTATAAATGATAAATGGAACGTATGGATACATTTTAAAATGTACAATGCCGACAAATAGATGGTCACATTTCTTGTTGCGGATATTGTTATCATATCAACGTCTACACGATTAAGTAAATATTATTGCCTTATTGATTAGAGGTACAAAACTTGAAAATGTGAACGATTTACTTGCGTAAGTGAACACTTGTAGATTAAAGCGTGGTCTAGCTAATTTACAATAATTCAAATTGATTTATATGTCATTTATGAATGATTTAAAAAACTGCAAAATTTGAATGCAATTGCATGTATTTTACATTATTTAAATTTTACTTTTAAAACAATGTTATTTGGATTTGTATCGGGGCAAATGTAATTTGCGACTATAGGGTCAACGAGTTAAATTCTTTCCCCAAAAATAACTGACAGGTAACATTGACAGTATCTTGATACCTATATCACTTTATCAACTTTATGAAATCATATTAAATGTACAAAAATACTTAAAAAAGTCGGAATCGATAAAACAGTCCAAAAATAAATTTCCCAAATTCAATGAAAATTGGATTATGTGGCCCGGGAGCGTAATTACTAACCCTTCTTATTTCACTCTGCGCATGGCTGAGAGTGCAAACAAAGGAGCGATTAAGTTCGTCTAGCCTCTGTGGAGTGATATAATATCTCCTTCCATTCCAGCTCTGAACTTGGCCTTGCGCGAAGCTTATCTGCCACGCAGAGGTCGGTGGAGCAACATTAAGATACAATATCGTGAAATGCGAAGTCATAGGAAGAACAACGAGATACTTCTGGATCCGTGAATCAAATGGCAAACGTCGTTTGGACAAAGTACAAAAGCAATGCAAATTGTTAGAGTAAGGAATTAATTTTGGATAAGAAGAAATAGAAAGTTTTATAGCGGAAAGTAAGTCCTTCGTAATATTTTTAAGGACATATTATTAATATACAACAACCAGATTTAGCGTTAGAGTTTTCTTTCGGATATGAATACAAGCAGTGTATACCTACTGTATTGCCTCGGGTGAATTAATTGGAGCTCATCATGTCATACTACATTTTATATTTTGGGGTATTACGAGCACTAAAGATTTTCTAGTAGCAGTCACGTTTATTCCCGTAAGTTTCATAATTTTCTATTTGGCTTTTAGAAGTGTTATATAATTTAAATCATTTATAATTTGTTGTTTGGCATTTTTTTCATAAGCTGTGAAAGCGTCTAACTTAAATAGACGATCGAGTGTTATGACAGAAATGAGAAATTGTATTAAGAGACTTTTGTGGAACAGTCGAGTATTACTGGATTGAAATTCCAAATAGTGAATATTATCTATTGGATTATTGTCAAAGAATTTTATTGTCATTGGAGGACACGAACAGTATGAAATAAAATCCCAAATTTCATCGTAGATATAATAATTCATCGTACAAAAATTCCATCAAATAGAACGCCACAGTTGGAAACATTTTCTGTTGTTCTTCGTACTCTGAATTTCAGTTTGATGGCACAATGAGTGAATCCCCGAAAATACACACAAACATTATCATCACACAGTTCATTCCCCTGAGTTGTACCACTGTGCGGAATTGATGACTCATCATCATCATCATCATAATCATCATCATCAGCAGCAGCAGCAGAAGCACGGTGTCCGTATCAATGCGCCACTGCAATGAAACAGTGAAAATCCTTTGCATCCACATCGGGCAAGGGCATTTTGCGCTTAGCGGACGGGCACTGCCGGGATCAACACCCCCTTTAATGTAAAAATAGGTTGATATTAGATTTAAGTCAGGTTGTCACAGGTTGAGTTAAGATTCTGGTAGATTACAGTTTAGATTTAAGTCGATACAATCCTTCGAGGTATTGAGTTCACATTTCGTCCCAAAAATCAATTGCGGTGCACATGAAATCACCGTTATGTTCTCATCATCATTCTTCAAACAGATGCAAATGTCTTCAACTTTTAAAAGTGGCTACTTGTACCACATGTGGTAGCGTAAGTCTTTTAAAATCACCTCTACCACAAGCATCGCTTACTTTTTGAAATCATTCTACGTCCATTCGCACGACGAGACCGTTGTTTCCGTTTTGAACGACTTCCGTAAATTCTCGCAAGACAGAAAGTAAAAAAACAAACACAAAAGCTTTTCACTGCTCCTCGATGAAAATGGCACTAAATATTTTTGTTGTGTACTATCCCATTTTCTTCTTTTCGCACTCGTGAATTTACCTTAAACTTTTAATAAAACAAAATACATTTTCCTGACACTACATTGTTGTTAGAAAACAGGACTCATATATCTGAAAGGGTTCTATTGAAACCAAGCAGACTACTGGCCGTAGAAACGACACTCCACAGGGCCACAAATATCTGCTCTGAACTCTCGCATGCGTCTTTCACTCTCTGCATGCGACAAACTAACTTTTCCCGATTTCTAGACTGCCTCATTTATACTTGTGTATCGCGGTGACGATTGTCATTTAGTGGTTCCAATATGCGCTTAATCTACACCTTAATCCTCATCGTATTGAACCGGCGATACAAGCCGGTGAAACGTTAGAAATGCTGCAGCACCGCGAACTTACGAACCCGATGTACCATCGGATTTTCGAATCCGTTAGTGTTTAATTATGCATCAAATACCAGCGTGTGTGGTATTGCTTCATTTATCTTTTTCAAGATCTATGCCTCATGTACTGAATCGTTTGGAAAAAAGTCATTATAATATCTTGAACCACGTCGAAAGTATTCGAGGATGACGTTTTTATTGACTTATCCACATTGCAATGTTTTACGAGAGTATTTTATTTGTTTTCAAGCAGAGTACGTGCTGTTTTTGGGGAAAACATTTTGAGTGGTCTTATTCCACAGCATTTCCGCTACCGCATGTTACCTCCCCTTTTGTTTTAATGCAACCCGCAATACGCTCACGTATAAAGGGATCGCGTTGCAGCTGTGTTGATTGGCTGGGTAGGCCGCTGCCGGAAGAGGCCGAGCGAGGCAGGGCAAGTGAATCGGGAACTGAGAAGGACATGGCGGGGATAAAAGGCAGATCGGAGGAGTTGGGGATGCTTGATGAGGCGAGTGGGAGAGGCGACAAGGCGGAGTTAAGGGAGTGGAATGGATCGCGGCGGGACAGGGAGGGGGATGGCGAGGAGAGACGAGGCGGGGTGTAGCGGAGAGAGGCAAGGCGGAATGAGACGAGACGCGGCGAGAATGAATGGGGCGATGCGAGATAAGGCAGGGGGGTGAAGCGGGGCGATGAGATTAAAATGTAGCATCAAAGAACCCGAAACAGCGTAAAGGGACAGGTGGCATTCATCCTGGAACGGAGATTAAAGCGTTAATTTTTTTTAAATTGTTGTCAAGTGATTCATCGGGAGTCTCAGTTGCATGCGACCCGAAACTACAAGCCGTGCTTACCGTGCCCGCTCACGCGAATACCTCCCATTAAAAAAATGTATTTGCCAGCCGACGTGCCACTCGGGAGCGCTGCTGAGTTGCTCCGTGTGAAGGCCTCCGAAGAGAACAGCAGCTCTTGCGAATAACTCGAATTTAAACTAAGTATTAGCTAGTAGACGCGCCAATCGGAAGGGCTCTAAGCAGCACAGCAGCGCCACTGCGCCGCTCGTGAGAAAAATCGCGCCATTGTCGGCAGACGCGGCACTCGGAAGCGCTACTGAATAGCTCCGTGTGAAGGTGTTCTAAACAGCACAGCACAGCTCTGCCCCTGCGTCGCTCGTGCGAATACTTTCCACATAATCCAAGTCTTTGCCAGCAAACGTTCAACTGGGAAGCTCGGGCCTTAAACAGCCTAGAAGCGCCTCTGCGCTTACTCTCTTCATGTAATGGACGCGGCGCTCGGAAGCGCTGCTATGTGAAGGCGCGAGATACTCACTGACGCAGAGTTCGAAGCAGCAGGCGCACAGCTCGCCCGCCGCCACCACTTCGTGCAGCAGCTGCGACAGCAGCGACCCCTGCTCGGTGATGCGGTTCACCAGGCGGCGCGCGATCTCCGCCAGCAGCAAGGTGAAGGCCAGCACGCCGGCGGACACGGCGCACGACGGCACGGCCAGCGCCAGGCCGGCGTCCCTGCGACACACACACATGCGACGGCTCCGTGAGAAAGAGGCCTTTGGCGCCGGGGGGAGAGGGGATTTATTACGAGAGTCTTCAGATGCAAGGTCGTAACAACCATGAGATTCAAGGTCGCAACTACCGTGAGATTCAAGGTCGTAACTACAGTGAGATTCAAGGTCGCAACTACCGTGAGATTCAAGGTCGCAACTACCGTGGGATTCAACGTCGTAACTACGGTGAGATTCAAGGTCGTAACCACTGTGCTACTAGGACGTAACTACCGTGAGATTCAAGGTCGTAGGGATCGTTGGGTTCAAGGTTGTAACTGTGAGGTTCAAGGTCGTAACTCTCGTGATATTCAAGGGCGTGAGAATCTTACTGCCTCCAGGACAGCATCGTGTAATTTCACATGTTGAAAGTCATATTTACCGTCGTTAGAAAAAGATGTTTTAATATCGTTAAATTTTTTAAATATGTCTTCGAATCGTGAAGTTTAAGTGAAGTCGTAGCAATCATAAGTAACGTAAGATTTAATGTCATACGAATCGTGATCTTTCGTTGAAGATTTCATAAGAATCGAGACTTTTAATGTGAGAAGCATTATACGGTTTAATGTGGTAAGGACTTTAGATTCATTGTCATTAGAATAGTGGCTATTAATGTAAGAATCATAAGGTTCAATATGATATAAAACTTAAAATTTAATGTCATTAGAATCGTGAAATTAATTTCTTTAGGGATCTATCTATAAATTCGAAGATTTAATAAAGAAAGAGCCGCGTCATTAACGTCAAGAGGATTGTGAGATTTGATGTTCTAAAAATTGTTCTACTAAATGTGGGAATCGTTAAGTTTCTTGTCGACAATATGTTTTAAAGTCGTGCGAATATGTAGTTCTACAAAACAAATTGCATGCGGCTATGGAACAATAGCAAAAATGAAATTATGTTGGGGGTTAGATACTTATTGTACAGAAATTAAAAAGAAAATTCAGTTAGAACGTTTAGCTTCAAAAGTTTTGCGGGGAATAAAACAAACTAATAATTGGGATTAATTTTTACTATAGACACATGTGAAGCTAGTCATCAGCCTATGACTCAAAATAAGGGTAAACTACAGTAGTAAGGGAAGGCATGGAGATTTTCTGGAGTGTAGAGTGAAATCTCGTGGGTTAAGAGAAAGCGTGTTTATGGAACTACGGGAAAAGCAAATTTAAATTCCGTCTGAAATAATAAATTTAAAAAAGCAAAATTTAAAAAAAATGCATAATTAAAATGGATGCAAATATCTCGAGCAGTAAAATGTACTAGTCAATTTTGTTAGTAGAAGGTATGTTGTCCCGAATACTCTATTATCTACATCTACTAGTGTACCTACTAGAGTGAATGAGAGAGTCATTGGGAGTCACACATTAGGCAAAAGTAAAATTGAGTTTCTTTGTTTTCAAATCGCATAAAGCTATTTAGTGAAAAAAAATATTTCTCACTACACTATTTCCTTCGCTGTTTCAGGATATTGTTATGCGTAGTCAGACATCCGAATTTGCTCTTGCTACAAGCTAGCTAACTACTGTGCTGTGTAAAAACAAATAGAAGATCAGGCGCACCTGGTATGTCTACATCCATACGTAACAAAGGGTAAAGATATCTTCATGTCTCAGCCTCCTCCATGATTTTGTGTACGCTCTTTGGATTTGCAAGATGTCTCAAGGGGGTTAACGGCAACATCTACAACATAACGCAACGTTAACGTAACACAACGATTTTGCAAACGCGTGACAAAACGGCCCGTGTTGACACCCGTCGCGTATTTGCGTACCTTCGCAGCCGTGTCGGTGTGAAAGGTGCCACGTTAGGCGAGGGGTTGCGTGAGTGTTGGTGACGCGGTGTGGGAGGCGGGTGAGGCGCGTGGGGTTTGGCAGATCGCCCGTTTGTGCCTCTGCGCCCCGCCCGAGACGGCACAGCCCGCTGCCGTCGGCGCCGCTCCGCAGGAGTCAATACCGCGCCCGCGGCGGCGTCACAGTGCAGTCTGCGCCCCCTCCACCCCGCCCCGCCCCACCGTCGCTACGACCCACCGCGCCCGCCGGCCCGCCCCGCCCCGCACTGCCCCGCCCCACCCCGCCCCGTCCCGCATCACTACGACCCACTGCACCCCGCCCGGCCCCGCCCTCCCCGCCACTGCCCCGCCCCGCCCCGCTATTACCCGCCCCACCCGCCCCGCCCCGCATTACCCGCCCGCCCTACCCGCACTTGCCCCGCCCCGCCCCCGCTATTACCGCCCCGGCAAATTACCCGCCTCGCCCCCGCTACGACCTGCCCCGCTCGCCCCGCCCCGCCTGCCACTACGAGCTATTACCCGCCCCGCGCCGCCCTCTACGACCCGCCCCGCCCCTCCCCGCCCCTCCCCGAACCTCCCCCCCCCAGCCCCTCCCCCGCCCCACCCCTCCCCGGTCCCGCCCCTTCCCCGCCCCGCCCCAATCTTGCCCGGCTCCGGCATGACCCGACCCGCTCCCCCCACCTCTCTCCGCGCCGCCCCGCCTCACCGCCGTTTCTTCCCCGCTCCGCCACCGCTACTAACCCTGCCACGCCCACTCCTCCCAGCCACACCCCAACTCCCCGCTCAGGCCCAGCACTGCGCCCCTCTCCCAAAACAGCCCCGCTCTGCTCAACCCCACCCCATCCCACCCTATCCCCCCGATCCAGCTTCCGTCCATCCCAAGCATCCCCACCCCGCCTCATCTCACCCTGCCCACCCTTCCCACACGGCCCATTCACCCGCTTCATCATACCCACGCCCCCGCCCACCCACGCCTCGCCACGTCTCGCTTCCAAGTCGTCCCCAACTCTCCCCGCGCCGGCCCCGCCCCGCCCATTCTCCCATCGACTTCTCCACTCCGCCCTGGACGTGCCCATCCTCTCTCCACCTCGCCTCCTTCGCACATCACCGATACTCTCTCGCTTGCCACCTTTCCTAACCTTCCCCCCGCCACACCCCGCTTACTCCCCCCCTGCCCCGTCACGACCCCGGACAACGCCACCCCATGTCCGCCCTCCACTCCCAGCGTCCCTCCCCCCCCTCCCTTCCCTCCCCTCGCCTCCCCTCCTTCCCCTCCTTCGCCGCACACCCTCTCGCTTCATCTCCTTACCCCGTCGTTCAACCTCTTCGTGTATCGCTTCTCACCTGTCATTCCCAGCTTACTTCTGAGTAGTCTCTAAGTCTGCATCCATTTTGCATTTCCCCTTGCACTGTTTATTCCTTGTCTTGTTTGCCTAGCCCTTGTCATTCCCAAAGCTAGGTTTTCCCATTCCGCGATTCTCTGGTCCTGTTTCAATTAAATGTGCTCTCTTCTTCTTCTCGACATAATCACCATCACCACCATAATAACCACCGCCACCACCGCTGCCATCACCACCGCTGCCATCACCACCGTTGCCATCACCACCGCCACCATCACCACCGCCACCATCACCACCGCCACCATCACCACCACCACCGCCGCCACCATCACCACCGCCACCATCACCACCGCCACCACAATCACAATTGTCGTCCTTCCACCGTAATCACTTCCAAATTCACCTCTATCACTTTCATTATCATTACCGCAACAATTATTGCACAACTCCATTAACCACTACCACATCCACCGCCACAGCTATTGCAACTCTGCTACAACTATTGCTACAGCCGCTGCCATAGCCATTACCGCAATTACTATTACAACCAAAATCCATCACAGCCATTGTCACAAATACCATTAATTGTAATTGTCATCAATGTCACCATCTCCACCATCACTTCCATCTTCACCATCAAAATCATTACAATCTTCCCCATCACCATCACTAGCACTGTCACTAACATTCCATCATCTTTTTTCACTTTTAACGAGTTCCTACGTCTCTTCGCATCTCTAACCATCCCTTTCTTACCTGCTCGCACTGAACTATTTATCCCCCTCAATCCTCCACTGAACTAGTCAGTGGCTCCCCAGCCTCTCGACCTAGAAATCTTCCCCCCCCCTTCTCACTCTCCTAATCCGCGCCACTATAACGAGGCCCGACTTTCACAGCTTCACGAAAGGATAACTAGGCCCTAGGGGATCATCATCTTTAAGACATCTGGGAGTTTCTGGAAACTCAAGAAAGGATGTAATCCCTTAGACAGTTGGCTAAAGCCTGCAGCCCTTCCCTGAATGAAATATTCCGCTATCAGATCTAGATTGTTTTTTAATAGTTGCAAATCTTAAGCGAATAGTTCTATTTCCCTAATCTAATTTAAAAATGCTTTTAATGTATTTCAAGGACTTTCACAAATCGTTGGTATAAAAAAGAATTAAATTTATCTAACCGAGTTTCTTGAAATGTTATATTGGGAAATCTCCACTAGTTTAGCTAGAACTTTCTAAAACATTCTCTTGTTAATTTCAACCCTGAAAGGAATTCTGACCACGGGATGGACTTCTTAGATTTTATAACACTAATCGAGATTTCATAACAATGTTTTGCTGTGGCATACTAATGTACAATTGTACTACTTGATTCTACAATGAGATTGTACGAACGGGTAAAAAAAGGTTTTGCTATTACATGTTTTTTGTAGTTATTTATAATTATTAAATAAATAAGTATTGGTTGCGATTCAAACTCAAATATTAAGAAGGGCCTGTTAATAATATAATTGTTGCAGATTAGTGCAGGATTGTTTAATTTTGGACAATTTTTAAACGCGGAAAGGAATTACAGATGCACGTAGATTGTACATAGATTAACACATTTTTCGCTTACAGAAGCAGCTCCGAATCGCAATGCATTGAATATTTATCTATAAGGAAATAATTTATTTTATGCAATTAGGCCAATGACGCTAAATATTTTGCAAAATAAAACTAAAATGTGCAATCATTACGATTTTAATCGTACCCCATTATCGAAGCGATAAATCAACTTTTTCATTGAAGCCATTTTGTGTTCTTTTTTTATTAATTATTATTGATTTCAGAGTAGAGAGAA